ACAACACTTAATAGACAACGGTTAAAAAACCGTTGTCGTTGGTAGAAAAGACAACGGTTAATAACTGTTGTCTATGTGCGTGACTTTTAACAACACCGGCTTCAACAACACTTAATAGACAACGGTTAAAAAACCGTTGTTGTTTATAGAAAAGACAACGGTTAATAACCGTTGTCTATGTGCGTGACTTTTAACAATACCGGTTTCAACAACACTTAATAGACAACGGTTAAAAAACCATTGTCGTTTCTAGAAAAGACAACGGTTATTAACCGTTGTCTATGTGCGTGACTTACAACAACACCGGCTTCAACAACACTGAATAGACAACGGTTAAAAAACCGTTGTTGTTTCTAGAAAAGACAACGGTTAAAAAACCGTTGTCTATGCGCGGGACTTACAACAACACTGGCTTCAACAACAGAAATTATACCCCTACGACAACGGTTAATAACCGTTGTCTATGTGCATTTTTCTTGTAGTGTATGCACTTTTCTCTGTCAAGCACCGTCTCGGTTTTTTAAGCATATCTCATCGTAGAAATTTCAAAATTAAGTGATTCTAATGGCATTGGAAAGATATTTCAAAGATGTACAACTTCTATGAAGACAACAAAGTCCAGTTCTAACCTCTACAAGGTGAAAGTTGGACTAGAAACCAGAACTGCTACGTAGAGTGGGAGGTCGCGATCGTGTTCACGGCGTGAGTGCCACCATGACCTCTAAAACCTGCGAACTATGCTGAAAACTCACGGTGTGAGTCCTACCGTGACCACGGGTCCAGAATCTATTTTAACTTGTATTTTTGGCACAATTTGATAGGTATAAATAGGCCTAGGCAATTATTTTTAGAGAACTTTTCATTCATCACTCTCCCTCCAAGGTTTTCTTGGAGAGAAAATCTCTCCAAACGTTTCATTTGTGTAATCAATACAAATTTTAAGAATATTTGAAGAACATTTTCAGATTTCATCTTGCAGTTTGCATATTTAATATTCCCTAGTTCTTAATCCAAACTATGTCTTTCTTAGTTTCTTTTTGCATTTTCTTTCTTTCAATTGTGTTTGGAGTGTCTCTTGTTTCAATCATGCTTTCATTTACATTCCTAACATGAATAACTAGATTCAATTAGGGATTGGATTAAATCATCTTTTGTGATTGATGCTATGTGATTGAATTGAGCTATGAGTTAGTGTAATGACTTGATAATAACGAGTCTAGTTGTGAGGTTGGTGAGTTATATATGTTGACTCTTGTATGATTGTGGCCAGATTATGCAAGAGGTATTTGGATAAGGTGTTGCCGCTATGAGAATAGAGCAATTAACACCATAGCCACATCTCTCACTAATCCAACTCACCTCTGAGAAAAGGGAGTTGGAAGGAGACATGAACACCTAGTGTTTGCTTAATTGCCTAAATTAGTTTAAGTTGCCATGAGATTATAATGGGGCTACAAACTAGTTGATAGTCCAATATCCACGAGAGTGGTATTGGCACCTAGTAGTGTCTCCCTAGTTCCCTTATCAATGCATTACATGAGCTCTGACCAATGATACATTATATCATCTACACTTAAGTGACTTGATCCAAACCCTTAGTTTTACTATTGATTGTTAATCGTTGTTTGATCTTTCATTATAATTTGATCGTCATTTCCTTTATTTTGCTCTTATTACATGAATCACATCTATTCCTTTAAACTAGTTTACAAACACTCAACCTCTTGTGCTTAACCACATACTATTTAACACTCTTCCGATCCACTACTTGAGACGATATCCAGTGTGAATATACAATCTCTCACACACACTCCCTTCCATTATCACTTTTACACAACATTCAAATATTAACTAATGCAGCATGTTGCGATTAACCAATTTAAAAAGAATCCCATCAGTATTTTGTGAAAACTTTTACAGAACTTTTGGCTTAAGGAGCATTATAGTTATATTTCTGTAATTGTTAAGATTTCCACACTTTCACATTGAAAAAAATAGGAAAAAAAGAGAGTTAATTCCATTATTTATCCTAGATGTACATGTGTCATCACACTTTTAGTTTTTTTTTTTTTTTTTTTTTCAGAACATCCAATGTTGGTCATAGTATTATTGTATTATAATGATTTTTGGTCATCCGTTAAAAACATGTTTAAATGCTGTTAAATACGATGACATTTCGATTTTTTTTTTATACAAAGTGGTTGACCCGCTATTTTTTTTTTATGAAAAAATAATCCCTAATTTACGGCTTAGAGTCCCGGCCCGTGTCTGCTGTAGGCTGTAGCAGCGCCTCCGCAACCTGAGCTTCCACAGCAGCGGAATAACACATATAAATCTATAACCAAAAATTAATTAACACTTAGAACTGAATAGTTTGAAATGTCATAATATTTAACACTATTTAAATATGGTTGGTGAAATGCCACCTATAAATCTAGGACAAAAATAAAATTAACTTTAAAATACATATGTGTTTATAAAATTATAGATTAAACTAGTTAATTAATTAAATTTAATCTTTTAATATGTTCTAGTCCATGTGTATTACAACCCATTCGAGTAACCTCACTCCAATTTTGGGTCAAACTAATTTGTGTGAAATAAGTTAGAGAAAGTCATAGTCTCTCTATTTTTGGGTCAAACTAATTTGTGTGGAATAAGTTGGGCAAAGTCATAGTCTCTCTATATTAAGTTAGTCATTTCTGTTGCCACCTAAATATGACTGAAAAATGAGAAGTTCATTTATTATTGAACAATGAATGAATCAAATACGAGCCAAATATATAGTACGTGGACATAGTCTTTGCCTACTCTAATACCAAATATAATTGAACAAGAGCAAATAGCGAAATATCAATTTTAATTTCACGAGTATTAACAAAATGATAGTTTTGGTTCACATATTTAATTCCTATCAATTTTCATCAACAATTATTATTTTAGTACCAATTTTCATCCACAACTATTATTTTAGTACTAATTTCCATCCACAACTATTATTTTAGTGTCAAAGTTCATCACGCTGGTCACCCATCCGTTTAAGACATGCCGAAATCTAAACATTTTAAGGGTATTTTTGTCATTTTCAACTTAAGATCCCAATTTGAGCATTAATAAAGAAATTTAAGTCCTAAGATCGATCCCAATTCGTAATTCTCCTCCTCATCCTACCTTAATTTGAGGGGGAGAACTGCAAATTGGGATCGATCTTATGGCTTAAATTCCTTTATTATTCATGCTCAAAATGGGATCTTAATTTGAAAATGGCAAAAATACCCTTCATAATTTCATATTTCGGCATGTCTTAAACGAATGGGTGACCACGTGATGATTTTGGCACTAAAACAGTAGTCGCGGATGAAAATTAGTAGTAAAACAATAGTCGTGATCTCGTGGATGAAAATTGATAGGAATTAAACATATGGACCAAAACTGTCATTTTGCTAATACTCGTGGGACAAAAATGATATTTGCTCAATTGCACAATATGTTTCATCTCCAAAAAAAAAAAAAAAAAAAAAAAAAAAAAAAAAAAAGATTAAAGAGTAAGATTATAATTTAACAATAATATCATCCTCAATCCCCTCAAAAATAAATAAGTGAGTGAAACATAATTTTTATATTTAAATATTATGCTCCCAATTAAACTAGTTATACAAAATGATTAAGGATAAAGTACAAATAAGCCACTGAACTATTTGGAAAAAAGCAATTAAGCCACCGAACTCAAATAACCCCCAAATAAGCCATTGAACCCGGAAAAAAAGAGCAATTAACATTTTTAACAGGTTAACTCCAGGTTTTTACTGATTGGATTACCAAATGTTTATTTTATTTACGTTTTTTTATTATTATAATCCATCTGCATAGTAATATATTTTAAAGTAATTATAATCAAAGTAGTTTTGTCTTGTCTAGATCTAATTTATTTATTTATTATTATTTTTTTAAACAAAAGATCTAGTGAAAAAATAATAATAAATAAACAAATCAAATCTCGACAAGATAAAACTATTTTGATTATAATTATTTTAAAATATAATACTATTCAAGTGGATAATATTAATAAAAAAATAATAAACGTAAATAAAATAAACATTTGGCAATCCAATCAACAAAAATTTGGAGTTAACCTATAAAAAATGTTAATTGCTCTTTTTTTCAGGGTTCAATGGCTTATTTGCTCTTTTTTTCCGGGTTCAAATGGCTTATTTGATGATTATTTGAGTTTGATGGCTTAATTGCTGTTTCCCAAATAGTTCAGTGGCTTATTTGTACTTTATCCCAAATGATTACAAGCTTCCCGGCAAAAAAAAGTGTCTTAATTGATGATTGTTATACGAAATGTCAACCTTGATTATAAGGGGTGTTTGGTTGGATGAAAAAGATTTTCCTTAAAAGTTTGTTTTCTAATGTTTAGTTTATAGAATTTATTTTCCAATGGAAAATGATTTCCTGTATGGAAAATAAATTTTGAAGTGCAATTTAGGATTTTATTTTAATTTCCTTGACAATTGGGAACAAAAAGTAATTTTGCAAGACTATTTTACCCTTGTGCTTCTTTTCTTACAATTACAAATCCAACCAAACAATTGAATCAATATAACTTCTTTTTCACTAATTAAATAATAGAATTCATCTTCCTATTAACTACTTTTTTATGAAATTTCAATTCTATTTTCTTTCAAATATTTTATGTGAACCAAACGAGCTCTAAGTATATGGGTCAATTCAAACTAAACATGATGTTTGTAATACGATTTTTTTAAAAAAAATTAAAAGAAAATTAAACATATAAGAAGATGTCGATAGAGTTTTGTCAGAAAATAATGCAAGGAAAGAAAAAGTAAACTGTTCAATTATTAATTCGATGGAGACACGGCGGCGGCGATACATATGAGATCAGACTCCACATATAGTACTATATAAGCATATATATGCAGTGATCTATCTTAATATATACAATTCATCATCTTCTTCATCTCAAATCTCCATGGAAGTAAAAACGGAATGGATTTGGGCAGCCGCCATGGCAGTGTTTGGTGCAATAATCTTGTCTTTGTTGAACGCAATTCTGAAGAAGAAAAGTAGCAGAAAGTTGCCACCAGGTCCCAGAGGGGTGCCATTATTGGGACACCTCCATTTGATGATGGGGAAAACCCCCCATCAAGATCTCCAGAAACTGGCCAAAATCTACGGTCCTATCATGCATTTACGCTTCGGGTTGGTCAACATTATTGTGGTTTCATCAGCTGAAGCCGCCAAGCAGTTCCTTAAAACGCATGATCTCATCTTCGCCACCCGACCACCTCACCAGGCAGCCAAGTACATGTCCTATGACCAGAAAAGTCTGTCGTTCGGCCAATACGGTCTCTATTGGCGCACCATGCGAAAGCTCTGCACCTTAGAGCTCCTCAGCAATCTCAAGATTACTTCATTTCAGTCCATGAGAAGAGAAGAGCTGCGTCTTCTCGTACAATCATTCAAGCAACAAGACAACAACATGGCCGTTGATTTGAGCGCAGAGGTTGCCTCCATGGTTGCCGACATGAGTTGTCGGATGGTGTTTGGGAAGAAGTACGAGGATAAGGAGATTGGTGAGAAGGGGTTCAAGGCTGTGATTCATGAAGCAGTTCATTTGGCGGCTTGCCCAAACCTGGGGGATTATTTTCCTTATCTGGGTAAGCTTGATGTTCAAGGATTAACACGAAGGATGAAGGCAATTAGCAAACTGTTCGACCAATTCTTCGAAAGGATCATTGATGATCATGAGCAGACTGCACCCAACACTCAAAAAACTAAAGATTTTGTTGATACCTTGCTGGAAACCATGAAGTCTGGAGATATCCCATTTCAATTCACTCGTCAACATGTCAAATCTATTATGCTGGTAATTATATATACATACACTTCTTAATTATATTATATTCCTTATACAGTTCATATAATCGAATTTCTGTAGAACTCTGAATTGAATATCGATAACATTATATTATAGGATATGCTTGTGACTTCAATGGACACATCAGCAACTGCAATAGAATGGATAATGTCTGAACTTCTTCGCCACCCAGAAGTAATGAATAAAGTCAAAGAAGAGTTAGAGAGACAAGTATCCTTTGATAGGATGGTAGAGGAAGAGGATTTAGAGGGTTTGGAATATTTAGAAATGGTCATAAAAGAATCATTAAGGATGCATCCTGTGGTGTCGTTACTTCTCCATCATACTGCCACGGAAGATTGCGTTGTAATTGATGGTGTTCACATGCCTGAAAAAGCACGAGTTGTTGTGAACCTCCGAGCAATTGGGCGTGATCCAAGTGTGTGGAGCAATCCAGACAAGTTCATTCCAGAAAGATTCGATGGAAGCAATGTGGAGTATAGAGGTCAAAATTTTGAGCTTATCCCATTCGGAGCAGGGAGGAGAAGTTGTCCAGGTATGCAACTTGGAATAACCATAGTTAAACTCGTTGTGGCACAACTAGTGCATTGTTTCGATTGGGATCTTCCAAAAGGAATGTTACCCGAAGAGCTGGACATGGATGAGGTATTTGGTATTGTGGTTAGCCGAGCCAAGCATTTGATGGCTATTCCCACATATCGATTATGTGTTTAACCAAGGTGTCTTAATTACTTTGTTATGAGATTATTAAAACAATACACTATATACATACATATATTGTAAGAATTCTAGTAATTAGCTAGTTTGTAATGTAATTTGAGTACCATTATGTTATGCAAACCTTATATAAAAACCTCTCCCAGGTTTTAATTAAACTTGAACAATTTGATCAATATCAAGATATAATTAAACTACATGTACATAATAAGTTCACACAAAAATGGAAGTAAGATTTTCAAGGACTTGTCTGATGTTAGGCCTTTGATTTACCGGAAGAATACAGCTTAAAGATATTGAGAGCAATTCATCCATGGCTGTGGAGTGTTCTTCCCCACCAACAATGTCTAAGTCAATGCAGTCCATTCCCCTACCCTCTCGATCACACAGCCGAACCCAGTCTGTAAGATCTACAGCACCCGACTGCCCGGAGATTATGTCACCCGCGCTTCTTCTGGTCAACAGCTCCATCAGAATCACACCAAAAGCATACACATCAGCCTTGAAAGAAGGCATAGGCTTTGCTGCAGTTGCTAGTTCAGGGGCGCGGTATCCGAGAGCCCCCTGGTGTAGTATTTGCTCTGCAATGCCAGCCCCGGTCATCAGGCGGTGGAACGCATAGTCCATGACACACGCCCTGTAATCACCACCCGACAGTATTATATTCGTAGGCTTTAAGTTTCCATGAGGCAGGCCGCTCTCATGCAGATATGCCAGACACCGGGCAACCTCAACACCAACTTTCAACCTTTGGTGGAAGGATAGCGGGGAATTCCTGCGAGGTGTTGTCTCTGCATAAAAGATACTCGATCTGTAAAGAGATCAAATAAACATATTCTTTTAACATATAAGTGATGCTGCAAGATCATTACCATATAGATGTAAGGCTAAGCTATCGCCTGGTATGTAGTCTGCTAATATCAATCTCTCTTGTTCTCTTGGACCCCAGTAATAAGCTCTTAAAGGAACAGCGTTTGGATGTCGTACTGATCCAATCTTTTTAACTTCCCTTGCGAATTCTTTCTTGTTTTTAACTAACCCCACACGCAGCCACTTCACAGTCAGCACAACCCCATTATCTAGGGTAGCTTTATATAAAGTACCGTGGTTACTTCTACCAAGAACTTCAGCAGGAGCTCGAGCTAATTCCTCAGCTGTAAATGTTAGCGATCCATCCATGAAGAACATTTCACCAGCCAAACGATCAGGTGAGTAGACATCCAACCTCGCAGGTTGTTCAATCGAGGCATGGATAAAACTAGGGGAGGAAGCTATCGGGGAACCTGGGGAAAGCCTTTGTCCAGATGTCGTTGCAGGATGAGTATCTAGTGTGCTAGACTCTGTTTTCCCCAACAATGATCTTGAAGTAGGAGCTTGCTCTGAGCTGCTGCGGAATTTGAGGAGTGAAGGCCGGTTAAATATGCCTAGCCTCACATCTCTACTGGGAGATTGGTTGCTAAATGCACTTCGGGATCGAAAGTTTTGAGGTCGAGTTCGAGCATATGCAAATAGAATAAAGGCAACCATTACGGAGAATCCAATTGAAGCAACAATAACTGCTACCCTTACATTTGATTTGGAGCTGTGATTCTGACCAACACCATGTACTGAACCAGAAATGCCAGGAGGACTACCAGATGGCATGTTGCTTGGCACTATAAGCAACGAGTTTCCAGGATGAAATGAAGTATAAGGAAATGTTCTCAAGTTTTCAGGGACTGTTCCACTTAAATCATTGTAGGACACGATGAACACTCTGAGATTCGAAGAAAGATTTTCAGGGATCCGACCTTTGAAATCATTGTTGGAGAAATCAAGGTATTCTAAACCATGAAGCTTACTCAATTCAGAAGGAAGCTCTCCAGATAACTGATTTTCTCCAAGATTTAGCAGTTTGAGCCTCCCCAAATTACTTATTTCAGGAGGTAAAATACCAGTCAAGGAATTACTTGAAAGATCAAGAGACTCCATCTGAGGATATGATAGACGGACTTGTAGTTCAGTAGTATGCATGCCTTCAAGAGGAATCGATCCTGTCAAATGATTCCCAGACAAATTGAGGTTTATCAAGGTCGAAGAAGCGAAATATGGGATCTGTCCTTCAAGTTCATTGACACTGAGATCAAGCATTGCCAGCCTTGGAAAGGTCATCAATGTAGAAGGTAAAGCTCCCCTAAGAGAATTATTTCTGATAGAGAGAAAAGTCAATTGTTGGAATTGAGAAGTCAAATTAGGAAGGGTTCCACTCAATTTGTTTGAGCTCAAATCCACAAACTCAAGACTGGCTTCCCAGCTCTGTATAACTGATATGTTACCAGAGAACTCATTACTGCTTAAGTCAACCATCAAACAATTCCCTATAGAAGAAGGGAGTGAACCTGACAGGAAATTCGACGAAAGATTTAATGCCCTCAAAGTTGTTGAATTTACTTTCTCAACCGAACCTGCAAGCAAAGGAATTGAAATTCGGGATACTTGAGACAAGATGCAAGAAAACCCAACACACTGCTTAGTTTACAACACAAAAGACAGCATGAGAGTTTTTCCAAAATACTAAGATTATGCTTGCAAGGTTAAAAGTGCAGTGCTCATTAAACGACTAAAAGCTGTGTGCATCCAATGTTCTCAGAGAATCATTTGACTGTAGTGTTTCCAATATCACCATAAAAAGAAAAACTGCAAAGCAATTTCCATTGCAGAAACCTCTTCCCTTCCTAGTAGACAAAATCGATTTTCCTTCACTCAATTAAGATGACAAATATCATTCAATTAATATGACAAATAAATGGGCATCAAAATAAGAGATAGGGAACTGGCAATGATAGCTAACCTGAGAAGCCATTGCCACTGAGATCCAGTTCCTCCAATGATACCCATCCATGCAGAAGCTCCTCTGGAATTGAACCGTACAGCTGATTATGTGCAAGCCTTAACACCTTTAGATTCGGCAATGAGGTGAAAGAAGGAAGCTGCCCCATTAATCCGTTGTTCCCCAAATCCAGAACCTGCAAATTCCGAAACATCTGCATCGATTCTTCAGTGAAGAACCCCCCGGCCAATTTGTTGTGGCTTAAGTTCATGTAATGCAGTGTGTTAGCGAAGCTAGATAAATGATCTTGACTCATTGAGAGGGAGCCGTAAAAGGAATTGTGACTCAGATCGAGATGTTCCACATTCCTGAGCTGAGAGAAGAGCTCCTGCACATCGCCCCAGAGCCTATTGGAATGCAAATCAAGCACTCTAAGCTGCTGCAAATTCCAAATTCCGCTCGGAAAGCCGCCGGAGAAATTGTTACTGGACAAGTTAAGATAATTCAAACCCCAGAGATCATTAAGGCGGGCGGGGACAGGCCCGTAGAACTGGTTCCCGGAGAGATCCAAGTACTGGAGGGAGGTCATGTAACCTATGGCGGGTACGACCCGACCCGTGAATGAATTACCCGAAAGGCTAAGGTTTCTGAGGTGCTTAAGCCCAGTGAGCGTGGAGAACCTCAAGTCACCGGCTAAGCCGAGGCGGTCGAGGGCAATGGCGGAGACGGAACCGGAGGCGGAGTCGCAAACGACGCCGTAGAACATGTCGGGGCACGAGGAGAGATCGGAGAGAAGGGTGAGGTTCCATGAGGCCAAGATTTTCCCCAATGGATCCGATTTTATCCCCTTCCTGAACTCCAAGAGTGAACGGAGTTCCTCCTCGGCGGCAAATGCGCAGCGGAAACAGCAAAAGATGAGAAGAAAAACAGTAACAGAACGCGACATTGGAGTTTGCAGAGAAAGAGAATTGTGTTATGAACGAGGCATTAAGATTATCAGAATCAGAGAGTTTGCAGAGAAAAGACTAAAACGAAGCTTTCTGCTGCTTCCATTCCATCTGCCCAGTAGAAATGGAACTGTGTTCGCACTACAGTCTGCAGGGAAGAGACATTATTATTCTTATTTAACTTATAATAAATCCTACCAAAAGTAACGGTCTAAAATGTAACATATTAGTTGTCACATGTAAATGTGAAATCCCATTTGTTGTGATTATATGATTTGACACAACTGTGTGCAGGAATATATTTCCCTGTTTTTTCTTTGTCGGGCTATGTTTCCTGGTCCCCAATAATTGCAGTTTGGTAAATGTTCAGAATTACCTGAACACAGTCAAAACAAAGCAAGATCAAATTACAAGTTCAACTCTCAATAAGAGTAATCTATTAACTTTCTTGATTTGAACTGATCAAATTTACATTTTGATCTTTTACTAGCTAGGCTCACAAAGCGGGTTTACCCTATCCAGAATAATGGCTACGAATTTTAAGATATAAAATACTATATGCACTTCCATTCTTCGCTCCCAACTTTTACTTCACACTTAAAATTTTGATGCCAACTTTTACTTCACACTTAAAATTTTGATGTAGACACTTTTACAGGAGCTCACATGAAGAAAATAGCATATCAATGTCTGTCATATCAAGAGTATGATTTGGGAGTACATGTAGTAAAACTCTTTTAAAATTAATATGACATGTTGCTAAAAGAATGACAGCCTTAGCCTATGAGTCTGTCAGACTGTCACTTCCTCTTCCCTGCCACGAGTTGCAGGTTTTATCTGGACTGGGATGGAACTGGAGGAAGAAAGGACAGCCTGTGAAAGAAGTACTTGTGCAGAGAAACACATGTTTTGCTGTTATTTGGATTGTGGTGTGGGGCCTAGGAAAACACAACATACGACACACACTTATCAAGAACAAGTGAGAAATGGGAAATCAGCAAAACAGACAATATATGTGCGTAGGGTGTAGAAGCTCACAAGACAGAACATCATTCATAGTTTCATACTATACTAAATAGTAAAGATTATCTGGAGTACAGAAACTCACAATAATTATACACAGTTATAAACAGATTATACATCTATGTTACTATCTATACACTGGGACTAAGGTCAGTTGAATGGTATAATAACCATGAATATGAGAACAAAACAAAAAAAATTGAACCTCGACCAACTAGAAGTAACATCCTCAATTTAAACCCAAGTGACAGTATCTTGAAAGCCTTGTTTTCAGGGTAGCCTCTGAAGGCTTCAAGTGTCTTCTTCAGCATATCAAAATTGTGAATTCACCTGTAATGTTTCTGAATGCTACTCAACTATCCTGTGTGGCATTTGCAAGGTTAGTGGCATACGAGGACAGGACCCCCCCACCAGTAATCTCGGGACTGGTCTGAATCTGCAACTGTAAACAACACTCGACTAAGATTCCCTTGATATTCTCGAGATTCTAATGGGGGAGGAGTTGCTCACCTTGTGTTCAAGCAGTTCCAGTAATCAATCTTTCCCGTTGATCTATCTTTTTAACCTTCACAATTCCGATTAGGACTTGGAAGCCAAAAAATGCACATAAGCCGTATGCAGCCATAGCAGGCATCTATATAGCAAAATGCATCGAGGTTAAACATTGGTATGTATGCTTAATAGGAAAAACGACCCCGAAAACACAAAGCAAGATTGACAACTTACTCTTATAGCGTTTAGATACAAAACTGTCGCAAGGTTAATTAAGCTTCCAGCTGCAACTGCCTGTTGATTCGTGTCCCCAGAAAGACAGAACCCAGGGAGAACGGGAGAGAAAGATTGCAAAACATCAAATCAGTAACAGAGACATGCATTGTCATCTCCATCCGTTTATTGAACTTACAAAATATAAGACAACTTACACTTAAAATTGTTTTTTGAACAGCAGCAACACGTTGAAAAGCCCGTTCAGACTCCAAAGCTCTAACTCGAAGTTTAAGATCACCTTGCTCCTGTAATTCCACAACAAAAGATATAAATGAACAATGCAGGTAGGAAGCTATATATGATCATGCAAGTTCAAAACCAGTGCTCATTACCAGTCGCTGGATAATTTCTGCAAGCTTTTCGACCCTATCAGCCTGCCTGAATAGGTTGTAAAATGCACGGTTCTGTCTGTCCCACCTTGTTTTGAAGTCCTGGAAGAAAGTAGTAGAAATGTCAAAACAGAAAACAACCGTAGCCCCCAAGGACAAATTGGTGTAGGTTTAGGCAATTTGCCTTTAAAATAACTTCAACTCCAGCTTCACGAAACCTAAGCAATTCTAGTGCATACCTACAAAATAGAAGACAAAAATTGCCAGTTTGGTGGTAATGAGATTAGTTTCAATGAAATTCTAATAGAAAACATCAACAGCTAAAGATGGACTTACGGCTTAGCAATCTCAGTAATATCAAATCGTGGATCAAGGCCCTTCCCGATGCCATCTAAGACTGTAATAATTCTTTAAAGGTAAATATACAAACAGTGACTATAAAGCAATAAACTAAGCACACTTCTAATAAAGTACCTGAAAATGCTCTAACAACAAAAGTGAACGTGGCAGGAAAGCGGAAAGGCTGATCTGCTGCAATGGATAATAGATCTTCACCTGGCAAGAGAATACAAATAATATGAGCAGAGACTAAAAGTATAAGATAGAAATTATTTATCCATTTAAAAGAAAAAAGATCAAAGAAGTAAAGAAAATGGAAAATAAGCAACTTATGATCACGGATCTGACAAATTTTGCAAATTACCAATTGCAGCTAGACGTTGCTTTTTCTTCTCTATTTTTTCTTCCTTGGTCAAAGGCTTTTTGAATCCAAGTTCTGCTTTAGCCAACTCCCTCTCCCTCCTTTGTGCTGCAAGGCGCTCTTCAAAACTGCAAAAATTTAATCTTGATCCAATGAACCACAAAATTTAACGACTAAACGAGTTCTCATTGAAATATAGAAACCCTAGCATAGCTGATGCCTTCAATCCCTCGATTTCAACAAGTTTGAAAGTAGATGCATGCCCTTGATTTAAACTAAATTAGCAAGCTAATGTGTTTTTGTTCTTTATTCCAAATGCCCATATTGATTATCTTAGTCATAATTTGTAACAAATAAAGCAACTAGAACATTTGGGAGCTCATTTATATTAACGTGGTTTTCAACTCAGATCAATAGGATAACCTGTAAAGAACACCTGAAGCATTATGTTATTTAAGAACTTCAGGATATTAAAATAGTACCAAAGCTAGTACTCAGTTCTATTCCAGAATCCAGGCATATAAACTCAAAAAACAGCATGACAACAATGGCTTTAATGTTAAGACAAAACACCACCTAGTTTGCACAATATTACTAGAAATTTACTATACTACCCTGCAAATTATCTTAGGCTAAGCATGCAATTTCATGTTGGCTATCTTTGAATTCACCTAAAAAACACGAACAAATTTTTATCCAAAATAACCTGTTAAGGAAGAACTGAGCGGTTCTCCTGACAGCTGTCATATCTCCAGTGGGCACAAGGACACCCATTTGAACCATTGCTTGCAGAACCTGCAATGCACAACGTATGTTATCGGTCTTCACATTCTTTAGATCAGATGTAGTTAATTCATGAAAATATTTTTTTGTTTACGTTATCTAAATAGAAACTTAAAATAGATTAGCAAATGTATACATTATGAAATAAATTACCTTATCTGGATCCTTCTCATAAACCCCATAGAATACTTCTAGTAAGCCTTCTCTAATATTTGAACTTATACTGCAATTGCTCGAAGTTAGTGATCATTGAAATTTTCCAAAATGGGATCTTCGGTCAAGCAAAATTAATATCACGTACCTTCCCATCATTCCGAAATCATAAAAGATCAGCCTTCCACCATTAACATCATCAACCGCAATATTTCCAGGATGCTGCAAGACAAGTATAAAATATGAGACTCCAACCCACTTTAACATATGGACTTCATCTTTCATACAAAGTAATGAATATAAAGTCGGACATTAAAAAGTTAAAGAGATGAAAATTTGTCAAGTACAATTTAAAAAAAAAAAAAAAAAAAAAAGTTTTGTTAAGAAAACTCACGGGATCAGCATGAAAAAAGCCATGAGACAGAATCTGCTCCAGGTAAGATTCAACAGCATATCTTCCCAACCTGGTGAAACCATGAAATTATGAAAAAGATAATAGAAATGCAAAATTATGGAACTATAATCTTTATGCGCATTCCCAACTAGAATGGCAATTCTAAAAGTAATCCAAGTTGAGTTGAGCTGATGTTTATGGTAGATTCCAAATAGAAATAATTAAAATAACAACAATAAGTTACCGCTTCCTATCAACTCCTAATTGATCTAGCGCTTGTATCCGGTTTATTTTTATCCCCGGGACATACTCCATGGTGAGGACCTAAAAGAGGAAAACACTAATCAGCTACATATATTATGCCAAAATTCAATAGTTATATGTCAAAGGTTTGTGGTTACTGGAAATTAAAACCTGTGGAGTGGTGTACTCCCAACATATTGTTGGTACTTTCACATAGTCCATGTTTTTAAAGTTCTTAGCAAATAATTCTGCATTAGCAGCTTCCTTTGTGTAGTCAATTTCCTGGAGATATCAAAATATGATCTTTTATCAGTCATAAATTTGAAGAGCAGAAAATCGTAGAAAATGTAAATGACAGAAAAGAAACGGAATAAAACCATATTAATTATTGGTTTCAATTTAATTTTAATGCAAAAGTTAAAGAGGCGCTGAAAATTGAAATGCAAAAGATTTCTTGCTACCTGATACAAGACACTTGCACACTCATCATAGATGGCAACCCAGTCCCTTTTTGCACCATCAGACTTAGGATCAAGCTTTTGAAGATATTCAGCTATTACCTGAAAAAATAAATAACAAAATAAAGCTGCAATAAAACGGAAACAGTTTCTTGGCAATCCAAACGGTAAAATTCATAGGCATGAGAGAAGACAACGTGAGGATGGTCGAGGCTGTCATAGATTTCTCAAGTACCTATTAATCCTGACAACCTGGTCACTCTGCGAATTGCTAAACTCTTGTACTAATTCTTATGGAGTAATTTCTTGCTTCTACATACTTAGGTAGGACATAATAGGTAGGACATAAAAGAATTGAACAGGTATAAAAGAGCACCAAAGTATCAGAAACAAACCCTCAAGTTTTTGAGGTCAATATCAAAGAGATCCTTAAGGCCTGGCCTTTGTACTTTAACAACAACATCCTGGCCATTCAATGTTGCACGATGCACCTGACCTGCAAAGGGACAGTGCAGTGAATTCATATGTAATTTCTTATTAACATTTTGGGAACATAAAACAGAGATCATATAATTAGAAATCAAATTAAGGTTACCCAGGCTTGCAGCAGCTATTGGTTCTCGGTCAAATTTGTCAAATATATCACTCAATGGAGCTCCAAGTTCTTCTTCAACAATTGATACAGCAGTCTCTGATGGGAATGGAGGAACTTGATCCTGGTTGATATACAACAATTTAATACTTTACAAAAAAAAAAAACATGACTAGCAAATTTATGATAACGGAATTTTGAAAAGCATTCTTGAGTTTACTCAAACTTAAGAAAGCAAAACTACCATAAGCATGCAGTAAAAGAGTAAATAGGCGAGTTCAATATTTTTAATAAGATATTACTGACCTGAAGTTCTGACAGTTGATCAATGTATTCTTGAGCAAGAATATCCACTCTTGTGGAGAACTGCTGACCAATTTTGATAAAAGTAGGACCTAATCTCAAAATGTTTTCCTTTAACCATTTTGCAAGGATCTTCCTCCTATCACCTTTCTTCTGTTCTGTCATCCCTCCTGCATATGTGCATCCATTTGCATTAGTTACAGTCTCACAGATAAGAAAATAAACTAAAGTTGTGACATTAGGTAGAATGATGAATGTTTACCTCGATAAGAGAACTTCTGATTGTTTAACCAAGCTTTGAAGATAAAAGTAAAAACAAATCCCCATATCTCCACTGTTCTTTGAATTGTTGAATAAGTCTTGAATCTATTCCATCTGCCCCCAGGAGCAACAGATACCTGCAAAAACTATGGGTCACTCCCACCAAATTTACAAAGATATTGCAAATCACCAATTAAGTTGATAACAAAGCACTGAATTGAAGAATGTGTTTCGTCTCAACTAAAAGCCTAAGTTAATAGTTAGGTGCACATTTATGTTTATATATTAATCTTGACAAATTAGCATATTAGCCTAAAACTCAACACAAAAAGTCCAAAACAAGAGATTTAATTAGAAATTAGCATATAATACCTCAACTTGACCCATCCCTTTCTTCTTAAACCAAGCTTCCTCTTGCCCAATCTCCTCCACAGTCTTCTTCTTTTCAAACACCTCAGAGTCAGTCGCCTTCACTTCCAGCACCTCCTCTCCACCTCTCCCCGCCCCTCCATTCCCATTCACATACTTCACCAAACTCTGATTCTCACCCGCCAGGCTCCCATTGGTATACTTCTCTGCCAAACCACTGCGCCCATTCCCATTCCCGTTCCCGTTCACTTTACGCGCCAACTCTCTATCGCTCTCCTCCAATACGGCACTCTCCTCTCTCCGCACAGCTCGGATTCTACACCGGAGAAGTGCAGCTCGCTTTGTGTGGCCGAACAATTTTGCGACGGGAAGCCGGATTCTTCTGCAACCGGAGTTGGGAGCCAGGAAGATCAGCTCAGGAAGCGCTGCAGCCGACAACGTGGCTGAAACACTCGCCATTTCTCTCAACTGTGCTGTATAGATAACTGATTTAACTATAAATTAAAGTAAATCAAATATATATAGCCCTAACTCTCATTGATTTGCTCAGACAGTGGTGTAGTGAGAGGTTTAGAGAGAGAATTGGAAATGTGGGAAACGGAAGAAGACGGAAAGAGTGGTGGTTGAGGAAAATCGAAAATATTTTTGGAATATAAATTTTAATTTACAATAAATCGGGAGAGTACAGGGAAGGGACTGAAGGGAGTGGCGGGACGGTGGCCACGTGGGAAATGAAAAAGGATTTTGGTGGATTGTGATTGGCTACGACTGGGTTTCGAGTGAATATTGCCTTGCTGATTGTACATTTGTCTATACTATCAACTTTCAACGAATCTACGCTGCTTTTACTTTAAAAAACAAAAACAAAAACAAAACCAAAAAAAACACAGTTATTTCGATTTCTCATTATTTTCTTTTTTTTTTTTTTAACGTTATTTTAATGTTTTCTGGGAAGGTTTTGGTGAACTGGCGTAAGAATGTGTGTTGTGGAATGTTAGGGGCGATTAAGGATGAGTGGATGATGAAGTTAGTCTAGGATGGAACGAAAGCATACATCCTACCAACTCCCATTAAAAATGTGGGAATATATCTGTTTTCGTATGTGAGGTCCTATGATGGACCTTAAAACCTCTGCGTTAGTTTCTTAAACTCATAAACTTTGACTGTTCAGAGAAGCTGCAGTTGGACGAATGATGGGACCTTAAACTTCTGTGTTTCTTAAACTCATAAACTTTGACTGTTCAGAGAAGCTGCAGCCTGCAGTTCGAAAAGAACTCCAATAAAAATTAAGGACCAATATTGGATAGGGGATTGAACCCGACGTGAATCGAACACGCAACCTTCTGATCTGGAGTCAGACGCGCTACCATTGCGCCACGGATCCTATTGGTTTAGGCTGTCATTATAAGTATTTTCAATGTTATTCACGTTAGTTGCATAATTTACAACATCAAACCTTTGTGTGCTCATATTGGCTAATTTGGATATTATTTAGCTGTTAATTACGCCTAGGTGATTTGGAGATGGAAGTTGTGAAATTATGTGGATTTGAGGTTAGTTTTATGAGTTCTAAAGCTATTTAGATCCTATAATGACGTGTTTTGAGAGTCATAACATACTAAAAAAAATGAAAATAATTAAGTTACATATCATCGTTTTACCATAAAATCCTAATAGCAATTAAAATGGAGAGAAGTGGAGTTTGAAGCAAAAATTAAGCTGAATGTAGAGTAATGTGCCTATATCCGGATAAAAAAGTTGTTCTGACCTTTTATTAATTGTGATAGAGATGATCCAACAAACATCATATTTATATGTAATCTTAAACATGTCTATGTACAAAAATACATCTTAACCAAATTATGTACACAAATATTCATGTACAGTACCGTGGGACGCTGCCCCATCCTGTGTTACATGCCCATGACTCTGTTCCGTCTAACATCTATCATCCTCCAATATAAAGGAGGAAGGAAACAAATGTTTTCTTTACTCTAAATTCAAGCAGAGTAGAAACTGAAGTTCAAAGTTGATTGCCACGATTATGCATAGTCAAAAGTGCTCAAAGTTTTCAGTCATCCCTGTCTATGCAACACCAAAATGTGCAGCTGATGTTTGTTACTATGACTATATATCCATATGAAACTGACAGAGGGGATGCACATATATGCACATTACTAATCCTCTTTTCCTTGTTTATCACTCTCAGAGCAGCTACAATCTAAGCCCAAGCACTTTAGAAATGCTTGTTTTGCCAGTCCAAGATAGTGGCAAGGATGTCTCCTACCACCAAAAGACCTTTCTTCTCCCCTTAAAACTCCTCTACTCGTAGTTGTTCCTAAGCCCTCAAATTTCTGCTTCTCATCTATTCTCTGCACTCAATGAATCAAACACTTCATCAGATCAAGTTTTCAGTAAGAAATATATTTACACAATGCTCAAAACAAGTTGAAAACAATAAAGCTTTTAGCAATGAATCAAAAACACCAAGAAAATGGGACAAACTCAGCCAAGTTGATCAGGTTAATAGCTTGTAAATTAGAAAGATTCAAAACAACCTAAAAACACCCAGATCGAAACTCCAAGATTCCAATTAACAATTTCTTCTGATCTTTATGAAAAACAGGAAAAGACAGACTGGGTACCTGGATTTTGTGATTAGATTGACCGGACGACGAGGGGCGGGAGCCACAGGCGGCGGATGAGGGGTGATTGGAAGGATCCGAGGCGACAAGGCTAAACCCAACAAGGAGAAGTAGAAGAAGAAGGAGTGTAATCAGAAGCTGAATCCAAATTAGCCATGGAACTTTGTAGCTCTCAATTATAAACTCCTCTCCGAATTCATACATGCTAGAGGGATGAAAACTGAAAAAGAGAAGTTTTGTGAGACAGAAGAAAGCATTGACATTAATGGAACACTGACACGCACGTCCGATGAAGACAAGCAGACAACTCACGCGTGCAAGAAATGTCGGATACCTCATCATTGGGCTTCGCGAAATTCAGTGTTAAATACAACTTCGTATTAGGTAAATTATACGGAGTACTATAAATTATGGTTAAGTATCCCACTAATAAATGTTTATTATTAATATATTGATTCTTTATTTTTAATTTAATATATAATAAGATTGAGTAAGGTTTGTGTAAGATTGTTTCACATAAGATTTGTAATATTTTTTTAGTTAAAATATAATATATTTCTATGCATTAATAAAAAGCATTACGCATAGAAATTAGAGTTAGCATATACCAGAAGGGGTCGGTCCCGGACTGGGCCAAAATTTTTGTATTTATTTATATTTTATATAAAATAATTATAAATTTATTTTTTGTTTAAATTGAGATTTGAACACATAATCTCATAATTAACAACTAAAGTTATTTTCAATTAAGCTACTCCAATATCTTGATATAATAATGCTCATTAATATATATAATTATATATTATCATATATATAATCATTTATATATATGCTAACTAAGTCAGACAATAACCATTATTAAATTTTTCATTGCATAATGTGGTCGTTGCACATTGTGGCATCTGGCCAAAATTAATTGCTTGCCATGGCAGCTTTGCCATGCTTTGCTGTCATGGCTGCATGCTAATTTTGCCCGGGCCTAGACCCGGATCTGGGTTGATCCCGTGTTACCTCGAACTTTATTTTTTTATTTTTTTTATAGGACTTGAATTGACATTTTATAAGCTACTTTCGGTTTGGGCTAAGCATGGCTCAAACCCAATAAAGCCCAAGTCCATTTTTTTTGAATTAATTCAGGACTGTTTTGACCTTGAACCGGTTCGTGACCACCTCTAGGGCCAGTCACAACTAGTCCTGCATTTGGCATGCAAAGGGTGTACAAAGGTGGGCATGAGTGGGGCTTTTATGGATGGGGTGGAAATGAGGGGACGACGCAGGAGCATTTATGGAGGCAAACAAGAGGGCGGTTATGTGCTAATGGTGTATTTAATTATTTATTATGGCTGAGATTTCAGGGAGTTTGATTTCCTTGTTTAATCTCTTTGTTTTTTTTTCTAAACATAGACAAACAATCATGTTAATTTTGGTAAGAAATCAACGTGTAATTAGGGGGTGATCAGCCCTAATAATTCTAAATTTTTTTGATATTATCAAGTCAGCCTATCAATTTTTGGTTAATATTGACATCTATAATCTATAATCTATAGTATAATGATTGATATTATTATTATGAAATAGACCGATAATTTAGATAATAAACTAGATAAAATTATTGTAAAATATTCTTTTATTTTTTAGTTTTAAGTTGTTAAATTTACTAATTTTATAGCATGAATTGAAAATGATGAATTAAAATTTGAGGCGCTTGAAACATGGGCGTATATTGTATAAACCATATAAGAGGGTGTAGGTTAATTCTGTATAGGATAAGAATGGCAAGATTTCAATCCATCTTCCTTGTACAATACGAGGAGATGAGATGAGAATAACGGCCTCCATCCAACACAAAGAAGATCACACAACATTAAATTCCTCAAACAAAACTAACACCGATTCCGTTGAATATTCTGGGCACCAAATCAACGTAACCTCCATTCATCATTATCTATCTTTTCTTCCTCGTATGCATGGCACCCTCCCATTGCTGGCGGTGATTATTCGGCCGGATCGGAGTCATAAAAAGCAACAATTAATATAATGGAGGAAGCAGCAACGGGGGAGCCAAGCAGGCTGAGCACCGATAGCATATCTTCCGTTGCTTCAAAGCGTCCGCCGTCTCCACCGCCGTCATCCCTCGTCGAGCCCTCCGTCAGCAAGAAGAAAGGAAACAAGCCGGAGAAGGTGTTCCGGGTGGTGAGATCCGTTTTCCGGTCGTTTCCCATCATTACCCATCCCGCGGTTTGCAGGTTCCCGACGCTCCCTAATGGCAGCCGGTTCCAGGAGGGGAGCCGATCCGGCGCGCGCGTCACCGGGACTCTGTTCGGGTACCGGAAGGGGCGCGTGAGCCTGTCGGTGCAGGAGAATCCCGGCACGCTGCCGAATCTGGTGGTGGAACTGGCGATGCAGACGCAGGCGCTGCAGAAGGAGATGAGCCAAGGGATGGTGCGGATCGCGCTGGAGTGCGAGAAACGGACGGAAAAGGACAAGATGAAGCTCCTGGACGAGCCGGTTTGGTCCATGTTCTGCAACGGGAAGAAGATCGGGTACAGCAAGAAACGCGACGCCACCGACGAGGACCTCAGCGTCATGGAGGCGCTCAAGGTGGTGTCAATGGGGGCCGGAGTTTTGCCGTCCACTAAACCCGACTCGGAGGGCCCCGACGCCGAGATCGCGTACGTGCGGGCATGTTTCGACCGGACGGTGGGATCCAAGGACTCGGAAACGCTGTACATGGTGAGCCCCGACGGCGACGCCGGACCAGAATTGAGTATTTTCTTTGTAAGGTTATGATCACACACTGCATGGAGGACAATAATCTTAATTTAATCAATTAGGCCAACCCTACTTATTGTGATGATTAGCTAATTTAAGCTAGTTTGATGACTAGATTAGATGTGATTTGTGAAATCAACCAGAAGTATCCTCGCCTTAACATATAAGAATATACAGTAATGTAGAAAGAAGACAAGATATACTCATGAAAACCATCAAACATCCTTCATTTTAATATATACGCAGACTTCCTCTAGATTACATGATGTATGATTCATGTGTTGCAAGTCTCGTTAAAAAACCTTTAATTATTATCAAAACTTAATAAAAGGAAATAGAGTACTTTCCAAGATAACCATCTTCAAAGTCTATACTATGGGTGCAATCTTCAAGATTGTCACTAGAGTGAATATCGACTAAGTGCCAAAATATTTTGTAACTCGAAAATATTGAATGATGTGTTAAACATTATTCCCATATTTCAAGAGGATCACTATATATTAGTAGCAATTTCATTGCAAATACAATGTTAGGCTTATTGGGAACTTCTATCCTAAGTGGTGCTCCAACCTAATAACAATAAAATAATGGACTTTTGGTATTAAGGTATCTCATTATCCTTTTCGAATCAAATAAGTTCCTTATCTATTTCAAGTGATTATTGGATAACGGTTAGTACGATAAATATATGATACTTATTCATATAAAAAACATATGGAAGACATTTTTCACCATTGTGCGCACCGGTATTTGGCCCTGCCTACTAACCCATTGAGTTACCGTGATTTACATCCTCCCACATACTCTGTCGGGTCGGAGTGTGGGGGGCCTTACTTCTTTGGGGTAAAACATTTTTCAAAATATATATATTAAGTGGGCATAAAATTCCTTCAAAGAAATACTCTATAAGTCAAGATAATACTTGAATTTTTCAAGACTTTTATTTCAAACTAGTTTTTAGGCATGAGCTAATATCATAAAATTCTTTATGTAGTTAATAATGCTTATATTGAAATAATCAATAAATAACTCTATTATTAACAACTTTTTAATGAACACATAATGACATGCACATGAAATGAAAAGAGATTTCCATTTGCAATATGCATGAAACTTTAGGTTACATTACACTTCAACATTGTCTGTCATCTGCAATCAAAAGTAGCAGTATAAATATTTAATTTTATCCATAAATTAAGGGTGTGTTTGGTTGGAGACTTCTAGTATTTTGATACTCATTATCATGTTTGTTTAATTTACTTACTTTTGTTATCCTAATATTGGAATCAAATTCTTTAGTAATTACATGTAAACCTCATTATCCTTTTATTCATCTACTTTATAAGGGAGAAAAAATTTAAAAAAAAAATTAAAAAATCATTGTTCATGCATTAAATATGAAATTTTATAATATATATATATATATATATATATATATATATATATATATATATATATATATATATATATATATATATATATATATATATATATATATATATATATATATATATATATATAGAGTGAAAGGTTCCCGTGCGGATGTGCGGTGGATTAATGTGCGTGAGATTTGTACTCAATGTGCGTGAGTGTTGTGCTTAATGTGCTTGAGATTTGTACTTAATGTGCGCGAATGTGTAAAATGCAGCAGAAAATATTGATGTCAGCTTCTTCCCCATCCCCAGTAGCCATTTGCCCCCTCCCTGATGATGATGATGCGGAGGCGAGCTATGGTGGTTAAAAATTATGGGAATAATACAACAGAAATCCACACTTAGCTGCTGTGCAAATTTTACTGTGCGTGCGTCATTTATATAAACATTCATCTGCACTGAAGGTAGCTGATAATCCAGAATCCATGGCCAAATTGAAGGAAGAAGTAACAAGAAGCTTGGGCGTTAATGTGCGTGAGTTTCTATTCTGCTTCCTTCTGAGCTCGTAATTCTGAAATACACACGCACATTAAGCATAAATCTCACGCATATTAAACACAATACTCAGACACATTAAGTACAAACTCACGCATATTAACATGACGCACATTAAGTACAAATCTGATGCACATTGAGTACAAGTCTCACGCACATTAAGTATAAACCTCACGCACATTAATCCACCGCACATCCGCACAGGAAGCAACAAATGCACCTGATCCCTTCCGTATATATATATATATATATATATATATATATATATATATATATATATATATATATATATATATATATATATATATATATATATATATTTGTGTATATATGTATTTATTTTGATTCCAATTCCTATTTACTACTAATGGTTTTATCAGGACCGGATTCACCATAAACTGGGTATACTAGTATAGAACGGGATAAGAAAATAATATTTTTATCATTGGAGGTGTGGGGCCCAGCAAATATATACAAGCCCAAGGTACCAGCCCAAGAATGACGGCCCAAAAGTAGCAAAATAGTATAATAATAAGCTGAGGGACCAATAAATAAATAAATAATTAATTAAGAGACCCCTCCTTAGGGGTGAGCATAATTACCGAAAAATCGACAAAACCGATAACCAATAACCGAACTGTCCGATAATTTCGATTATCGGTCGGTTATCGATTATAAGGCAAAAAAAAAAAAATTCCGGCTATTCGGTTATTTATCGGTTATGAAGGTGTAATAACCGCGGTCACCGAATAACCGACACTATTATATATATATATATATATATATATATATATATATATATATATATATATATATATATATATATATATATATATATTACTTGTGGATGCTCGGTTATACGGTTAACCGAATAACCTACCGAAACTGACATAATCGGTTTCGATCGGTTAAAACTTAAAAGTGTATGTTCGGTCGGTTATGGAGATTTAAAAAATGTCATCGGTTAATAACCGACCGATGCTCACCCCTACACCCCCCCCCCCCCCCCCCCCCCGCGTGGACCAAGAGTGCATATCATGTCTTAGGGATGCCTCTACATGGACTAGACACCCCCCCCCCCCCCCTTTTTATACTATCAGGAGAGCCACCTGCACCCTCCACGTGTACGACATTCAAAGGATGTCATCTTCCACCCGGCACGCGTCCCATGTCGTTCTGTAGTGCGACCACCTCAACATCCCATCCACGCACCAAGCGCCATGTACCTAAGACATTCCACCAACGGGACAAGCGGCGTGCACTGTCGCGCCCTCGCGCCTCCCAGGCTGCCCAGTCGCCACCTAGGGCTCCCGGGCGTGCCGTCGAGGCGCAGGGGGTGCAAATGGTCCCTAGGGGCGCCTCGGCCTCGGTCAGTCAGCGCACTGGCCGGCATCCTGGCGCCCCATCCCTTCTCCTTGCGTCGCCTCCTTCCGCCCTGCATCGTCAGTTTATTTGTCTTGCACTAATGTCTCCGGGCTTGCCTTGCACAACCCTGCCTCTTAGCTTGCACTCCTCCTTCCCTGCCTTGTCTTGCACCCCTTTCTTTTTCTAGCCCAATAAGATTTGGACTAGCCTCTTTCCTTCAACACCCTCACTTAAACCAAGACTTATCCAATGAAATGGATCCCCAAATCCTATTTCTCCATCAATTACTAAACAAAGTGATTCATCCTACCTAAACTCATTACCATTACCATTTCGATTCCAATATTTAAACCAAACACACCCTAAGTTTTCTCCGAAAACATTCGGGCTTAAATTGTCATATGGCCTTTTCAAAGGATTTGACAAAAGAAATTAGGAGGCCCATGGATCTGTTTGGAAGCCAGCTTTCCTTTTGAAATTTGAAGAGAGAAACCGAGGGAGATTGGTGGTCGGAGATGAATAAGAGATTCGGCGGAAGGAGTAAGCCGACGGGAACTCCGTCGCTCGCTTGGTCCTGCGTTGTGGTTGTTGCTTCGTTACTCACCGGCGCCTCCGTTGTCCACAACTTCTTCAAACCCGATTTGGTACTCCCTTTCCCACTAATTCCTCTCTTTCTCGATGAACTAATGCTCTTTGTGGTGAAATCGTATCGTTTTCCGTACTTGTAATGAATGTTTAATTCTGAGAATTTTGTCTGTCTTGTGCTATATGTGATTTTAATACCTCATTTTAGCATCTCACTAGCTATTTGTCCACTCCTCCTAGCTGTATGATAAAATGCGTCTTAGAGAATCTGATAAAATAAACAGAGTTATTCCCTGGTGAGTAGTGGTTTCGCTTGTTGGTTGAAAACTTAAGTTGCATAGCTTCAATCCTTGACGCGTTATAACTCTCTGTTCTTGATGTAATACACTGCATGTTTAAGTCAGTTGCTAGTTAAGCTTAAGGGAAAATGGTATCTCAGAATTGAATAGCCAAATCAGTCTGAGTTGCACTTCGGAATTGTATGCCCCTCCAAAATTAGAGTTAACTGCTACTAACACAAATGTCTATTCTTTCTTTCCTTTCAAACCAGCTTCTGCAAATTTGGCCCTTGGTTTATACTGCTACTTTTGACACCAGACTTAGAAAATTCATATTAGTCATTCCCAAATCCTCACATTGCTTTGCTAAAACTCATGGTGATATGATGTTGAATTGCAGACCCTACCACCAGTAGAAAGCATTGATGGGGCTAAGCAAGAACAAGAGGATAAACAATAATTGCCTTCTCAAACATCCTTTGTTTGTCTCAGTTTGATAGACTTGGAATTGCTGGAAACTCCAACACTGAACTTACTGGAAATGAAGTACTTGTTGAAAGCTTTCAGGTTGTTACATATTTCTAGGATACAATTTTTTTAAATTCATTTTAGTGTTTCCGCATATCAATTCAATGTGATACTAAGGAATGTTTCTTTCAAATCTTTGTTTTCCATTTCTTTAGTTATACATGTATTTAGTTTTCTAAATTTATTTTTAAGATTTATAGTTTTCTACATTTATTTTAAGACAGGCAGTGACTAGGTTCTTATCCATTAGATGAATGTGTTGACGCAACTGCATGCATATCTTAAGTTCTTTAAGACTATGAACAGTAAGTTTCTTAAAATTTGTCGAATTCACTCCGAACAAAAAGGATTTCGCTATTGGGTTACGTTGTTAGTTATGTTTGACACGTTACCCACAACACCTCCAAAATACACCCATCCAGGCTATCCATCACTTCGTGAAAGCCATACTTTTCAAACTCTGATCTCTTCAATATTCAATTCTTACTAATTTAAATTTTAATTATTAAATCTCATGTAAATACTTTTTAAAAATATATAATTTTTTTGAATGAAGAATAAGACATTTTCTACATTTTAATTTACAAAAAACTTATAACATACTATAGTTGTTCATAGCTGACCGCCTTACCGATTCCAACCCCATAACAAATGTCAAATTTAAAATACTGTTATCAAATTAAATGTCGTATAATATGTATCTCCGATAATATGGCAGGCAGGTGGTTATCTATCAATTAATATTAGGGTATGAATGAAAACAACGTTAACGAAGAATTGGCGTTCCACGACATCACCGTACCCACGACCAATCACTTCAACGAAGCCAAACCTTTCTTCTGACGTGGACTTGTCGCTCACCACCAACACCCCCACCTAATAATATAATACATTCCTTCCAGAAATAGAATCCACTCAGTCAATCCTGCCCTGCCCGCACCATCTTCTCCATCTCTCTTAGCTTTGTTTTCTCCGATCCGATCCGATCCATGGCCTTGGTGCCTCGCCCGGTGGTCTGTGAGTTGAAGTCGCAGGCACCGCCGCGTCTGCTCCAGAAGGCGGAAGCGGCTTCCGTTCCCAATTATAATAATAAGGTGAGAGTGGCGGTGGAGGGGAAAATTGTGTTACAGCCACGGATGTGTACTTTGAGATCGTTTGGGTCTGATCCCGTCGGAGTCATCAAGACCAAGACCGGTTCCGTGGCCGCCGGAGACGACGACGAGGAGGTCTCCCCGTTTTTCGCAACGCTGTCGGATTACATAGAGAGCTCCAAGAAAAGCCAGGATTTTGAGATCATTTCCGGCCGTCTCGCCATGGTAAGTAAATAAATAACCTTCTTTTCACAAGGTGATGCGGTGATAATATAAGTATGTATGTATATCTGATGCATATATAGTGTGGTACAGATAGTGTTTGCAGCGACGGTGACGACGGAGGTTGTGACCGGAAATTCATTGTTCCGGAAGATGGAGTTACAGGGGATCGCTGAAGCCGCGGGGGTTTGCTTAGGAGCCGTGAGTTGTGCCGCCATTTTTGCCTGGTTTTCCAGCGCCCGTAGCAGAGTGGACCGGATCTTCTCGCTGGGCTGCAACACCCTCATCGATTCGCTCATCGATCAGATCGTCGACGGTATCTTCTACGACACCGATCACAATGATTGGACTGACGAAATCTGAAAACTTCAAACAAAATTTACCAGTCTCCGGTGATAGCTGCGCGCGCTGCGCTACGGTGTTCCTTCATCACCCAATTCAAAACCTCTTTTGATATGATGGATGGATTCCATCCTCACCCAAAGCCCCCGTAAACTAAAGCTGTATGTATGTTTGGCGTAAAATTTTGCTATTAATTATACAAATAGAAGCTTATAGTACTCCTGCATGCTTTGCTTAGCTTGTATATATAATCATACAAATACTTTCCAAGCAAGTATTAATGGAAAATTAATTATTTAATTGAGATAGATGTTTTGCAATTATATATTATCTCAAGTCAACTTTTTATTATAAAAGATATTCAATCATTTTTTTTTTATTTTACCAAAAATTAATTAATTAAATAGAATAACAAACAACACTTCTCTCGCTATCTATATTTTGAGTTATTATACAATGAACTATTCTCCACAGTGCTATGTGAACCAGGTCCAATACAATTGTCAAATAAAATTATATTATAGTAGAGTTAAAGTGATGCTTTGCCAAATACCTTGTGCACAGATGACACCTAAGTTGGACTCTTATATGAGAGGTTGTAAGTTCGAGTCTCACAATAAAAAAATTGATACTTTAATGTTGCTAAGATGAAATTAGTGTGTGTGAAAAATTAACTTATACAATAACATATATTATATTGACAAATGAACATGAAATGTAATTAAAATTATGCTTCAACATTACTATATTTAAACTAATGTGGGTAGAAAATGAAACTAAAAAAAGTAGAGTTCATGCAATAATGTATATGAAACAAGTGTTCGTGGAAAATAAAACTAAAAAACACAACAATATTATAAAATGAAACTGAAGTATGTGTACTCTCACTTTATACTCCCAACTTTTAATTTACTCCCACACACAAACTTTGATGTAGACACTTGTATTGGGACCCACATGAAAAAAATAGCTTATCAAACCCGTCACATTAGGGAGTAAAATTTGGACGTACATGTAGTATATTGATAGGGATTATTCCCTAATTATTGATTAGACAGTCGGTCATGGGTTCTCAGCGCCTAAGGATAACAACCCGACCTAACATGACGTATTGTACCTTCTAGTCCTCCCGACCGCCTCAAAGGGCTTGCCCTTAGGTCTCCTGGAGCTTGTCTAGTGCTCCGACTCTCTTAGGTCGAGCCAGTCGAATGGCCAAGGTTGCATCAGTCTCGTCTCATCAGAGATATTGTGACATGTGCTCGTGGCACCTTTGCCTCCGATCTGACCGTGTGCATGAGCACCACGTGCCCCTCATGCCGGGGGCCCGGAGCTTGTCTCCTTTTCATCCCTATAAATACCGTATTTATTACTGATGGAGGGACTTTTCGATCACCTACTTGAGGACTAGCACTATAAGCTCGGCGGTTGCTGACCCACAGTCATAGTGCCCCGAGCTCGAGAATTGAACCAACAAGCAGACTAGGAAGAAGATCCGACCCAACATCAAATCTAGTACTGTATTCGTAGATATACCGATCGTATATACTATATCATCTATATTTTTAGGGAGGAAATTAATTGAAAGAAAGGTAAAGCATAAAGTGGTGTTTGAAAGCCCTAATATTTCTAGCGTTGGCCCAACAAAGAGCCCATATAGGCCCAATAGAGAGCAGTACATGAAGGAAAAGGGGCCAGACAATAAACAAGGACAAATTATATTGATTATTGTGGACCAGGACCCAAGTACATAAAAATAATGTTGTAGCTACATAAAAATGACACCAGCATTAGTAAATCATGTACTTACAGTGGTAAATTTATGTACATAACAATGATACCAATAGTAAATTTATGTATATATGTATTACAATAATGAATTTATATACATAAAAATGACACAAAATAGTAATAAATCATGTACAATCTAACTATTAGTTTAACCAAATATGTTTATGCTTTTTAAGTTGCTAAATTTTTGCTTATGCCAACAATTACATGTTATTATATTCACCACCTTACTACAAGTGTAGCAATAGCTAGTTTGGTAGACAGAAGGTTATGGTAGTACGTAGATGAAGAATTGATCACATGCATGTATTCTAACAAAGAAGGAAGATGCCAATTGAAAACTTTGTTGAGTTGATAGAGCATAAAAAAAAAAAAAACAATAATAATAATAATAATAGTAAAAGGAGTATCTTTATTTAATTTCTTTCCATAGAAGCATTTAATTTATCTTGTTTATATAAAGTATTATTTTTGCTTTGAACGAGGTGGTCGAGTGAGTGGAGCATGATTTTTGTATCTATAAGTCATAAGCCTTATTATTGTCAATGTCATTTTAGTTGTGCCTGTCGCACAAGGTCATTCTAGTGTGGTTTACTTCTCCTCTATGGCTCTATATATAGTTTGTGGACTATTAAACAAAAGCAGAGTTTACCCAATATACACGCTCCTACATTACACCTACGATTTACTTCTCAATCATGTATAACTAACAGACTATTACATAAAAGTAGAGTTTACCTCTTGTGCGTAAACCGTCACCTGAAATTTGTAGGTCCTTCCATGAGCATTTTGCATTGAAATGTTTCGCCACCAGCCAAGCAATTGTCCAAATCATTTTTTGGAATATAATTGTTGGGCAAGGCCGGTAAAGGGGTCATGTCTAGTACCCAGTAGTTCAAAGAATTGTTGGGTGGAGGCCGATAAAGTCTCTAAGGGCCAAGTCCAACACCAAGCATGTCTCGAACAATATGATGATGGTATAAGTAAGAAAATAAGTTGCGTCTTCGCTACTAGCTATAGTTTTTTGTGTGAGTGATAAACACTTGATCCTAACAAGTGGTATCAGCGATAGGTCACGGGTTCGATTTCGATTCCCAAGATACTGGGAGGGAGTAAAACTTGTCTCAAACAATATAATGTGATGACGGTCTACTAACTATAAGTTATAATTAAATTTAATGACAGTAGAAGAATATATACAACGACATGACCTAACGTGCGAGAAATAAAATCTCATCAACAAGTTTACTTATGAAGATACACCCATGGAATAACTCAACATGTTACCTGCTGGCCTTATCATGCAGTATATATAGCATCAAAGCATTATTATATATATGATGATGGAAGGACCAAAGAAGCTTTAGTGCAGACAAGCTTCTATTTGATGGGGCAGTCCCATATTCTTGATCCCTTCTTATTCTCTAATTGACATAAAGCCTCATGAAAACTCACTTTCATCATAGAATTTCAACATGTATGTATAGTATAGAATGTTACCATTCATGAAAAAAAAAAAAAATCCTCAAATATGATATGATATATGGATCCAAGGTTTTATATTATATTTCTCAACTATGTGGTCGAGATCGATTTGGTTGGCTCATGAGTAACGACGTATTTCTTTAATATAAAGTGTGCAATACTCTTTAATTTACAGAAAAATTCGCAATCGTTACTTGAAGATGCGCTCTAGGTGAAACCCACCTGGTGACCCTAGTCGGCAAAATACCACAATGAGGTAAACCAACCTAAGTTATCCGATCCATAGTTGATCGAGTTAAACCGAGAAGGCCAATAGGCAACTCCCACAAGAAATTGAACATGTTACTCATGAGATAATCAAATCAAAGAGTAATATTACATGTATTCATACCTTTTAGTCTCAAACATGAAATGTCTTGATTGGTTAAAAAAGAAGTCAAATTTAGTTTTGACGTACATGTGAGGGAATTCGAAATACAAACTACTCTGTATATATTTTCAAAAAAAAAAAAAAAAAAAAAAACTAAAAGTTTAAGTTAGTAATTAAATTACATATTTATTATTTACTTATTATGCTCAGCACTCTCATAATAAAAATAGAATAAAGCATTGTATAACTGATATAGTGTTTTTAGTCTTGTCATGCTCATATTAAATACGGAATGGGTATTCAAAAAAAAATACGGAATGGAGTACTATACTATCATTCCTGTCATTGTGACATGAAATAATGAAAATATATATTAATTCATTGTCATTGACTTGGCTGGGGACTCTACCAAAAAAAATTGACTTGGCTGGGGATAATGGAATCTGGACATATTTGCTTTACAAACAAAGCTCCAATCGACTAACCACTTATATCAATAGTTATCCTATGAAGGTAAATACTTATTCAAAATACATAATTTTGCATACTAAATGTTCACAATTTACATACTAAATATTTACAACGTACCTTTTACAAAATTGTAAATATTTAGTATGTAAATTATGTATTTTGAACCCGAGTCTACATAATAATTTGTACCACTTATATGGATCGTTATGCTGTGCATCCATATGCACCATGCATGGTGCATACGGATGCAAAAATGACATCGTTTTGACGTCTAACTTAAAAAAAAAAAATAGATTTGTACAACTACACATCCATAATTTCATAACTATACATCCAGAATTACATAACTACACATCCATAATTTCATAACTATAAATTCAGAATTGCATAACTACACATCCATAACTTCATAACTATACATCCAGAATTACATAACTACACATCCATAACTTCATAACTATAAATCCAGAATTGCATAACTACACATCCATAACTGCATAACTATACATCCAAAATTGCATAACTATACATCCAAAATTTCATAACTATACATCCAGAATGAATGAACTAAAAAATGAATAACATAATGTTGTTGCTGGGAATCGAAACTATTTTTTTTTATTAAGTAGGACGCACGTTTTAATGCAAAATGACCTCGTTTTTGCATCCATATGCACCATGTACGGTGCATACAGATGCACAGCATAATTTGCCCCACTTATATACACCCAATTTCTTTGTAGTATTTTGTAATATCCAATATATAATTATGATATTTCTGTGTTGCTAATGGGTTTAAGGAGTCCGTCTAACATACATTCAAAGAATGTGTTGTAATGCTTTTCACGAAAAAACAAATGTAAGGAAAAGAATGTTGTGAAAACGTACTAAATTTAGAGTTTCTTTGTATTTGAATTTTAAAAGTGGGGTATCTTGCTAAGTAGTAATTTGTAGCTCAATAACATCTGATTTTTATAATTCTTTTAAATAAGAGTTCACAAGTTCAAATTCTCAGTAGGAATTAATATAAATTATTACTAATCATTGTTATTTAATAGCTAAATAATGATAAAATAGGCACATGCGTTACATTTAACGTGGGCCAAGTCCTAGCTCTACGGCTAAGGACACAGGTAATCCTCCTCGACTCTAACCAACAATCATGTTAAAAAAAAAAAAATCAAAAGTAAATATAATTTTAACACTTCTTTTTTTTTTTTTTTGGCATTCTTCCTTCATGTTGGTTTTAATGCCAAAGAATTCGACAACTTGTCAACACAATTGATCAGAAATAAAGTATAATACTGAAAGAAATTTGAAAAAAAAAAATAAAAAATAGAGTACCTCTATTGCTTGGAGAGAAAAAAGAATGTGTGCGAACCTTTACAAGCCCCTTTTTGTTAGAGTATATAGGGAGTTAGGAACATTAATTGACGGTACTCTATCTAAATAAAGAAATTATATATCTCAAATTAAGGACATTAATTACAATGTGATCTTTTAAATATAAGGAAACAAATCTTCTAAAACCTGATCAATATCTCCCAATTGTACTTTCTATAGATAAGTGAAACACTGTTCCTTGCATTGTCCTCCAAATTTCCAATCGTTATGCTGGTGCACACGGTTGCGAACGATGCTGTTTCACTATGGTGGAATAACGTAACGGTGTCATTAGTGGCACCGTTTAACTCTACTAATCAATTGTTTTTTTTAAACTCCACCAATCTGAATATATAGTTCATTTATTCTGAATACACAGACGCAGCGAACTGCCATAAGCCAAAGTAGAGTACCAGTAACCGGTGTAGATATATAGTTCACTAATCCTGGATATATAGTTCATTAATTCTGGATATATAATTCATTAATTCTGGATATATATTTCACTAATTCTGAATTTATAGTTCATTAATTCTGAATATATAGTTTATTCATTCTGAATACATAGACGCATCAAACTGCCATAAGTCAAAACAGAGTACCAGTAACCGGTGTGAATATATAGTTCATTAGTTCTGGATATATAGTTCAAATTATGCACAGCATAACGCCGTTAACGGCAATCGAAAATGATTTTTTAAAACAAAAAAATAATAATAATAAAAAATAAAAAATCGAACGGCGTCGTTTTTAATCAAAACGACGCCGTTTTGTAACCGTGTGCACCATGCATGGTGCACAAGGTTGCACGGCATAATTTGCGATAAAATATTGTTTATGGCCATCCCTTAAAAATAAAAATGTAGCTGGCAATGTGACACGTCGTAAAGTATAAACTTGGTTCAACTATATATATGTGATTGTACCAATATAGTGTAATTCCTAATCATCAAATCAAAAATCTAAGGTAAATCCGAGTCCCCCCACTCATTCTTCCTGCCTCTCTCCTTGGCCCCATATATCATTATTCTTTATCAAAGTTCTTATTCCCTGCAAACAAATTCCACCACTCCATCACACTGCATACATTTGAAAATTAACTATATCATTTTTCCACTTCCAGAAATTGATCGTATGTAATTAGAAATGAATTTTCTAATCACTTTTAATGTTTAAAAAAAAAAATACCCTTCAATAATACCAAGCAAGATAGTCAAAAAGAAATAAAAAAATGGCACGGCTAAATTGATAGCAACAATCGGTCGACGTTTCTAATCATCATATGACTAAAATTTCTTGTCAATTAATTTTGTTTTCTTTGAAGATATTTATTGTCAATTAATGGTAATTTTTTTTAAAAATAGTAATCATGATTGTTAGAAAATTTCCTGACAACCATAACCATTGTGGTACGGTAGGAAACTAGGGGGAGGTCTGCAAGCAAGAGAAACCTTCTAATTTTAAAATATCTTCAAATTTCAAATTGTTCGCTATAAATTTTCTTAGAAAATGCTTTCTATGACTACAATTATCACTCTTTATTAGCCATTGCCAAATTAAAAGAGAAAAACTATTTCATTGATTATTAGTGATGAATTGGTTGACATCAACATGAGTTAATAATAACTGTACTTATCCAATACAAAAATGACACGTTCCGTAAGAGTGACTAAAAGAGAGTGATAATTGTAAGATTTTCTACCCTCTAACATGGTCCAATTTTCTTAGTTTCAAAATTTTCCAATATTTAGTAAATGTGGTTGAAAAATTTTAAAAATTCATACATTTCTATCAACTTTTAGCAATAAAAAAGTACGCAATTTTCCAGTAGTAATAATAGCACATTCAATTCCAATGAACCCACCAATTCCTACGGCAAATTATACCATGGACCAGGGTCTATCTTGTATATATTGTAGACCTTGGTCCAAAAATAACCTTAAGATATCTATAGATTATAGTTAACACATTATATATCTACAGTTGATAGTTTCTGTAATTGTACCTATAGTCTTTAGATATTGAGCTTTTACATTGTATATCGATATCGACTATGTTATTTAACTTTTGTAGGATAACAAAAATGGTCCGAAAGGAGTAACCCAATAGTTAGATCGAACATGATTCTCGTATCAAAAAATCACTAGTTCAATTCCTGTTGACACCCTCTCGATCAAATTCAGTGCATAGAATTTCACTAGTACAATTTACGAGTTGAGTTTACTCAGTTTTACTGTATAATCCATATATATCCTCATCGATAATCGATCTCCAGAGTGCGTTACACTGTATAATTTAGATGATGGTAGCTAGAAAATCATGGCAAACATTGACCCCACTGCATAATCCTTATTCTTGCATATATAGTGTATATCATCATACTTCACCTGGGAAAACAATATAAAAAGAATGATTACCATGGGGCAGAAATTGTCAAGCGCACATGATTTTGGTATCATCATATTCCTTTGCTAATCCAATGCTCATATCACTTGATTCCATTATTATGAGTTATAAATTTATTAAATGCACATAAAACATTGAGATTACCAAGTCAACTCTGCTAATCTGAGATTTCTCCTAATTAATTAGTTCTCTATCACCATGGTAGAAATTAAAGTTTATCTAAGTATGGTTATAAACAAATCAAAATAATATTTTACTTGAATATATAGTGCTTAATTAGCTCATTCATGCACCAAATTAAAATCAACCACAATACCCCACCTCCCTCTTTATCCCCTCTCTATAAATATACTACAGCCCCTCCTTTACCCTCTCAATCATATATCTCTCCTCTTCCGGTCTTCCGCCGCCGCCACCACCACCTCTCCTCCTCCCTCTGCCACCCTAATTTCCTAAACAATAGCTTTTATATACATAGAGCTATAATTAGCAGCACTGGATTATCATCACTTAAATTAGAAGCAAGCCAGGCCAATTCAAAATGACTAAAGTTGAGGGTTTCACGGCGGCCGCACCGGCATCACCGACGCCACGGTCGCCGTGGCACTCGCCGGTGCCGTATCTTTTCGGAGGCTTGGCTGCCATGTTGGGTCTCATTGCTTTTGCGCTTCTTGTCCTTGCGTGCTCCTACTGGCGCCTCTCCGGCTACCTGGAAAACAACGGCAACGACGACGACCGGGACCTCGAGGCCGGTGGTGACGGCAATGGCGACAACCCCGCGAAGGCGGCGGCGCCGGTGTTTGAAGAAAAGGTTTTGGTGATCATGGCTGGGCAGGGGAAGCCTACTTTTCTGGCTACGCCTGTGCCCAGTAGAGCATCCTCGTTCGGGAGTAATAGCAGCTGTTGTAGTAGTACGCAAAGCAGTGAAAGTAGTACCACTGAAAAATCTGAACATGAAGAGAATCTAGAGAAACATCATGTGTAAATGGCCGGGGAATATGGTGGGCCACTAGACAGCATTTAGGTCTCTTAATTTAATAGGACAATCCAGTAAAGTTGGTTGAGCTATTCAACTAACTTGGTCGACTATTAATTTTTAACTATAAAGTTTTGAATTTGATTTTTTTTTTTTTTTGTGAGAACGTCTATTAACTTTCTTGATTTGAACGGATCAGTCAATCAGATATGGGCCTATAAACATTTAGATTGTACTGTGATTGCTGGATAAAACACTATGACACCCTTTGACGTACATGTTCTAGTGTCTTAACTATATATAGTTGTTGATGTTTTCGTTGTAACTTTAATTCTAGGAAGTGATCTGATGATTTTGAAAATGGTTTGAATTTGACAAAAGAAAAAAAAAAGTGGGATTTGATGAGTTAACCAATTGTGGGGGGTGTTTGCAACAATTGCAAGTAGGACCATATATATATATATATATATATATATATATATATATATATATATATATATATATATATATATGCTTCTTCAATTGTATTTTTTTCTTCTTCTGAATGATGTAATTCCGGAAGTGTATATATGTTTTGGAGAATGAGAATGTGTGCGAATGTTTTTTGATCTTGACTTATATTGATTTTATTGTACATTATTTTAGCTTTTAAGTAAAATTAATATCTTTGATTTTGGAGAAATTCTTTAACTCCCTGAATGTGCATTTTGGATGAAGTCCGCATTGCGATACGAGTCGATAAAGGACTATAAATAAGTAAATTAGCTTAAGTTGTTCATAGTTAATCAACTTAAAACGAGAAGACTAATTTGCAGTGATTTGCATGCATGATGTTCCATTTGAAATATACCAATATTTGTATACTTGTTTAATAATATTTATTCGATCTATAAATGATAAAATCATTTGACAATTTGAATACTTGCGATACATCATATCACAAGAGAAAAGACAACATAAAGTTGAGTTCTTATATTCTCAAAACATCTACTCTAATATCATTCATATTTAGCAAGTGGGATGGGGAGTTTAGAATTATTGTCCCCTTGTCCAATGTTTTCTTTATTAATAACTACACATTTCATAATGGTATATTTTTATGACGAAAAATACTCACAATTATTACTTAAAAGTGTGTATCGAATAAATATCGCTTCTGTATAATAATTTATAAACACGAGTCTATGTACATTATTTATCTTTATGAATCTTTTATGCCACCTCTCATACCAAAATGGTATTGATATGAATCGAACAAAAATTATGTTCCACCCACTCAATCACTCTACAACTGCTAACAAAACAAAGCTTATGGACTTAATTCATTAACATTTTAATACTAATTTAAATGTTTAATTAAAATTAATCAATCATAATTGTTAGATGCAAGCAATAATGACAACAGTGATTATGTTGATCGAATAAATAATGATTTAACGTTAACAATTATATAATACATTTAAACCCCAAATTTAAGAGTTTTTTAATGTTCCTGCTCTATCGACTAGTGAATGAGATAAATCGTGAGATGTACCTCAACTGACCTATATTATACACGTACTAGTGCATCTGATCTTGTGATATCCACACTTATACTACTAGTAAAACAAGATTTATGGACTTATTTTGAATTGATAAATTAGTTAAAATGTGCCTACCAACAATTATACAAAGAGTAATCAGTGAAACAAACAAATTAAAGAATCAAAAGTTGATTAATGAGTGTAAAGTTTGAAACTCTATAATTATATAGAAAGGATGCTTTAATAAGGTAAGTGGTACACAGCAGCAAGCATTGTCTTGTTGAGTGGGTGCATATATATGCATTCTCTCTCTGCTTCATGACTCATCTCCCAAACTGGGGATTTGAGGGACCATTTTGGAATATTTTTCTTCTTTATTGTTACTAAAATTGACTTATCACAATAATGTAAACATGAGCCAGCTATACAGATCCAATCATACAATACTACATTAAATTAAAGAATATATCTACCTTGTTTTTCCTTTGTTTTTTTTTTTTTTTTTTTTTTTTTTAACGTTATTCAGTATAGCGGGATAGATTCTATTCTTTGCTATTCATTAATTTAAACAAAATTAATCCTTAACTATTAAAATGATAGAAAAAAATTCACCGAGTCGTTAATTAGGGCTTCACCAGTGCCTGAAGGGCTATATTTTAATATATTTTTATAAATATGTATATAATTACTTTCAATTATTTCATTTATACTCGGAACGTAACAATCCTGTAACTATTAAAAAATTATAAAAGTTAATTACTAAAAGGTACAATGTATCTTTTTTTTTTTTTTTTTTTTTTTTATAATTCGGATTTTTTTGATTTTGTGGATATATCTTGGACCTCATGAACCAATCCTTAAGTTTATGAGAAGATAAAAATTGAATCAATTTAGTTATAAAAGTCAACATCAAAATGTACACTTCTATTTACAAGAACAATGTGACTATTTTGTTGACCTTCTAATAGTGGTAGTCTTGTACAATAGTTTTATTATATATATATATATATATATATATATATATATATATATATATATATATATATGATACCCTGATTGCTTGTCAATACGATTCTGCAATCCACTAGGATTCCTACCTGTTGCCATCATCATCATCACCAATGATTCAATTCCCACCACCACACAATTTAATTTATTGTACTTTCAATTTACCATAATAAGATAGATAAATTGCACTGGGAAAATTTTCTACAATAAATTTAATCGAGATTATGTAATCAAAAATTAAGTTCATAATTTTTAAGTATAACAGTCATGTTCCATTCACTCGACCATCCTGTTAGACATGCATGTAAGATTGTTTTTGTATGTTGTTCTGATCATCTTATTGATTGATATGATGTTGTATTAATCTTAAATATAATCATGGTGGTATATATCCATTCATGCAGCTACTTGATGCATGGATTTCACTATTTCAGATAATGGGAATATATATCCTTAGTTTTTAAAGGATTAATGTATATCTCTCTCATACTAGATATGTTAAATTAGTATTTACTTTTTTTATTATTATTAATTTAATCTCATTTCATCCCAAAATGTCTAGGAATATTTTAGGAAATTAAACTTGTACTTTGGGTCCATGCATTATTGGATAATATATAATTTATTTTTTCCATTTAATTTGTACGTTATGATGAGTATCATTATATTTTTAATTCATTGAGTTCATAGCAAAGTGGAAGAGTAAGAAGCAGAGTGTTGCGTTTCATTCTAGTGCTGAATCTAAGTATAGAGCGATGGCCTATGTAGCCTGTGAGGTAACATGGATGTGTAATATTCTTAGAGAGATTGGTATAGAGGTGAAGAAACCAGTTCCTTTGTGGTGTGACAATAATCATGTGTTTCATGAGCGCACTAAGCATATTGAAGTGGATTGTCACTTCGTGCGAGATAAGGTTCAACAAGGGCTACTCTCTACCATTCATGTTCGAAGCGGTGATCAGTACAGTTAGCAGATTTGTTCACAAAAGGTCTTAGTAACGCTAGGGTTGAGTTTATTTGTAACAAGTTGGGCATGCTTGATGTTTATGCTCCAACTTGAGGGGAGTGTTAGAAAGATACGGAGGTAGTTAGAGCTTTCCACTCTGCCTAGTACGTATTTCTTTATTTGAATTTTGTGTTAGTCTTTCCCATCTCTGTATATAAATAGTTTTATGTACAGTAGCAGTATTACATTTGAATAAAAAAAAACAATACGCGACCATTTCAAAATGGTCGCGTAAAGTCCATGACTTTCCGCGAGCCTCGCATAGGCAACCATTGTACAATGGTAGCGTAATGTCTTTTACAATGGTTGCGTATGTGCAGTTATGTACGACAGAGCATCTGAGATGATGTAAATCATGATAATTCAACTGAACATGAACCACAGAGTCTAGACATTTGCTTACTGCGCACAAGGAGCCCCCCTCACTTTGAGAGGTTGCTCCCACACTGCCGCTGGTGAGACTCGATCCATGGTCATTCTTACTAACTTTCACCTCTATGACTAGTTGAGTTGCTCATGCGAGTTTTTTTTTTTTTTTTTTTTCTTATTATCCTACTTGCACTACATGTAAGCATTTGACTCTTTGAAGTTAAAATTTAAAGCTCTAATTTCATCTCTCTCCTATTTTCTTCCTCGATTCTTCATTCACGTATGCAAATATAGCTTCTCTATTTTGCACTTTTTCATTTTCTTTTTAGCGATTGTTTGCGGTATTTTTTTAATCAGAAAAATACTATCTACTTGTAATTTCTTAGGACATATTTTGTTTAGAAATAAGACCGAGTTGTGGATGTCATAATGAGGTTATTCCTCAAACTAACAATTTTGTGATTAGCTCGTTCTAATGCATGACCTCATTACTAATAGTCTAATATGTTGGATAGAGGTAGAGGCATGATTAATCAGAATTGAAATGTTCGAAGAATACATATTTTATTTAAAAATAAGATCAAGTTGTGGGTCTCGTGATGAGGTTGTTCCTCAACCGACAAATTATTTCGTGGATCTGAATCCGAGTCTAAAAATACATAATTTATATATTAAATGTATACAATTTAGATATTGAATGTTCACAATTTTTATATACTAAATGTGCACAATTTACATATTGAATGTTCATAGTTTACATACTGAATGTTCACAATTTGAATTATGAACATATTCAGTAGGTAAATTATGAACATTCAATATATAAATTGTATATTCCATGGTATAACTTTCCTCATCAAACCCATACGTTCGGACTCTCATTTTGGTTTCGTATTTGATACTAAAATCCTAACTAATTAAAGGTTTATTATGGGTAATAAACAGAAGGATTTTGATATTATAAATTTAAAAATTATTCAGAATCTTTTGATAACCGTTATTAAAAAAAAAAAAAGAATAACTCAAACCAAAATTTTAATGATATTATAAAATTTCAATTCTAACAAAGATTCTTACAAATCGTAAATTAAAAAAAAATTCTAAATAATTATGACTCGTAAAATAGAAAAACCAAACATAATTTATACCTCTTCACAATCTAATTCGGGAGCGGGATGAACTGACACCGCGGTTGTTGAAGCAATGTAAATCTTTTTGTTCCGAACCTTCATTTGTGTATATAACAAATACGTGCTTACACAGAACCCTAAACTAAAAATAATTATAAGAATAATGCTAACAATCCTATGATCATCATCTGACTTGATCAAGTTCCATGCCAAGGCAACTGCACTCTGGATGAAACACAAAGCAAGAGTTGCAAATATAACACAAAAACCGAGTACATAAAGTCTAGCTTCAGCCATACTTAAATTTCTTGCATCATCTCCTAGTGCATCACACCATCTTCCGACAACAAATCGTTGGGTTATTTGTTGAACACGTTGAATTTGAGAAGTTGGAGATAACTCTTTAATTTCCCTCTCAACTTTAATCGTAAAAAAAAATACTAATATACCATCCAATGGATACAAATAATAGGGGAGATACAAATAGATACAAATGTACCATAGTTTCTTTACGAACTAGCAACAAAATTAGGAAAAACATGAACATCAATGTATTTACAGTTGCAATATGGACAAGTACACCCAAAAAATGGTTAAATGTGGCGGGAGAATACTCATATTGAGATGCGAGGGGAAGAGGCGGAGGAGGACGAAGATGATCTGCCATTGCACATGTAATATCTGATCTCTAACTTAACTCAAAGGCATGCACCCAAATAATGATTTGATCAAATGCACAAAGGCTTTAAAAAGATAAGAAATAATACGGAGTATTATTATTTCTGATTTCTGATAAGTTTAGAAATCTAATATATTTACTTTTCTAATCATATACTGATTCTACCTAATATAACTTGAATTTGATTTTGGTTAGGAATCAAATATATTTACTTTCCATTAAATATATTTGTGTAGTAGCATTATTATATTCGGCATTCATTTATGATCCTTTTTTAATTTTTTTTATCGTACACATGAAAAATAAAGTGTACTAAAAAGTTTTTTTTTTTTTTTTTTTTTTTTTGTAACTGATTCAATCAAGAATTTGAAACCATGTATGAAAGGCATGCTACATCCACAAAAAACTTTTAAATTAGGTAATTAATTTTAAAATAAATATTTGTAACAATACAATTATGTTGTTATTATTATTATTATTATTATTATTATTATATTATTATTAGGGAAAATGTCACTTTTTCCCCCTAAGTTATATACTTATAGCACTTTTTCCCCCTCAATTATTTATGTAAGCACATTAGCCCTCTTAATTATTTTAAAAGTGGTGGTTTTTCCCCCTAATATATTAAATTGACATTTTTACCCTTAAAGTAAACATTTTATTTATTTTACTTCTCCAAAAAAATATTGCGTATATGTAGCGATTACCACGGTTCGGTTCGAACTGAACCAGACACTATAGCAATCAAATTAAAAGTTTTCAGTTATGATTCAGATCTAGAACCCAATATTTGGATTTCAATTTATTAAATTTAAGAATAGAAAAAACTGGATCATGAACCGTGAACCGGCGGTTCCGGATCTAGTTCGCGATTTTGAACCTTCTTTATTTTAAAATTTTACTTTTTATTTTAAAATAGTCTAAATTCAACAATAAATGTATTTTATTTTTTCAGTTCGGAACATGAACCGGCCATTCCGGTTCACGATTTTAATAAACTCTAAATATCGCGTTTTGATTATAAATTGTAATTGGAATATTTTGGTTTGGTTGCTATAGTATTTGTTTGGTTTGAACCAAATTATAGTAATAATTTGTTGGAGAATAAAAAAAATGAAATATTTATTTTAAATATTTATTTTAAGGGTAAATATGTCCATTTAACATTTCAGGTGGAAAAAGAGCCACTTAAATAATTCAGGGGGGAAAAAGTGCTATAAGTATATAACTTAGGGGGAAAAAGTGTCATTTTCCCTTATTATTATTATTATTATTATTATTATTATTATTATTATAACGTTCTCTCTCTCTCTCTCTCTCTCTCTCTCTCTCTATATATATATATATATATATATATATATATATATATATATATATATATATATATATATATATATATATATATAGAGTACGTTGTTTTCTTCCTACACTTAACAGTATTTCTAGTTTTAAATTTGTCAAAATTTTTCGTTACTACGATTTTAGAAATCTTATTTAACTAGGATTACTAATGAATTTTACTTCATATTTTTCATTTTCTCCTAATAATACTCGAGTCTCAAACTCCACACTTTAGTGGCAAAAAACTCAGAACACTGACATTACACAATTTTAAAATGATCTATCTAATTTCTAATCACTCAATCGTGAAGTTGAAGTGTGATTTGGGAGAAAGAAGTGAAATAGCAAAATAAATAAATAAATCTATTACTAGTTCTAGTCAACTAAAATTTATTAAAAATAACAATAAATTGTAACATAATCTTTAAACGAAATACCAAAAAATACCACTGACAACTCAAAAATTAGAAGTGGTAACACAATCTATCATATCAAACATAAAATAAATTTACTATTACCTTATAATTCAAAAGTAAAGTCACGAAAGGGTGAAACATAATTTTCGTACTAAAAAGTAACATGTTCAATTCTTGCCAATACCCTCTTGTTAAAACATGTTGTACAAGATCTTCACACCCTTAGATAGTGACTACAGGTTTTCCTTATATACTTTTTGTCGGGGGTGGTCCTTCTGTTATTGCATAATAAGGGAACGTAGTCATAGCAAGACTCACATTTTCATACAAAGTATTATTCAAGCTTAGGGATGATCCTACAATTCAAAAAGGTTGTTTTATAAAGAGCCAACATTGAAGTGATATGCAAAGTACAGTATTGCCTCTCAACCCTTGGGTGCATACTGACTAACAATCAAATTAGTACTACTCACGTCATGTACACACTTCTTGTCAATATTTATTCAAATACGCAATCTTCTTTAGGCCTTTGAATTCAAGAAATCTGCATTAGCAATAGGATTCAACTCATTGACTTGGTGAAAAAAAAAAAAAAAAAAAAAACAGAGAGATATAGGAAGTGAGTTTTTATAACTGTTAAAATTTCAGAATCATAAGCTTCATCACAGATTCATTATCCATAGATCAAAAAGCTTTCAGGAAAGGTAATGCTCATATATAGCATCACAACAAAAATCGGTATGCTGTCAACTGTTGCATTTGAGGGACTGTCATTGTTGCCACAACAACACTGGACTGTAATTTCATCAACTGCTAAGCTTCGCGGGTTTTCAGTGCAGACTCAACAAGCTTAACTTTTTTGGTATTTTCGCTGTTGGTTAGTGAGAGCTTTTCAAGTGAGGCTTTCAGCTGGGTCATTTGATTATCTACAACGTGACTTTTCCTCCTGGCTGATATTTGTCTCTGCTCATTTAATTGATTCGGCTTTGGAGAATGTGCGTATCTTTTCATCCTCGCATTTAGTGCTTCAATGGAAGAGCGCAAAGCATCTAACTCAACTCCAGTAATTTTGTCTGCATTGCCATGGATTAAAACGTTCAAGTGTTATATCACATACGGGGGGTTTAAGAGAAATACAGGTAATTAAAACTTTGAGCTTATTCCCTTGGGAGAAGAGTGCCGTGCCTAAGATTCAAACATCTATTTTGATATATCGCGCAAAAATATATAGGCAATCATAATGACATGAGTTGTAGATGTGATGAGCAAAACTGTTGGGAGGAAGCATGGTAAACAATAATTATTCAGAAAGCATAGCAAAGAGAATCAGTAAATAAATTTAGTTACCAAGTTCTGATTTGAACTCTTGCTCTGCTTTTGATAGTGATCTTTTATGTGCTGTTGGCAAAGATCTCAGCTTTTGTAACCGCTCTTCTATGGCACTGTGACGCTGAACTGCACACTGAAACCGGTCCTCTAATTTTTCCTGCTTCTTTTCAACATTTACAAGCTTCTGCTGTGCTTTTTGAAGTCGAGAATGCTGTTCATCAATGATTCTCTTCAAATGAGGGGCGTGGTGCTGGAGTTCAAAGTACACCTAGAACAAAGGGGAAAATGTTATGCATAATCTCATTAGAGGAAGCCAAAACTGAAGGGAGTTCTCATCTCAAAATTACAAAAAATAAAAAATAAAATAAAATTGAGCAGCCATCTAGGATCATCAGAATATTTCATTCGGAGAATCATCGTCCCTAGAATCATCTTATACAAAATGTAGCTTTACTGACAAAACGCTTCCCTACCATTGGAGACACCTCAAGTATTAAGTACTGCAAGCACCACTTAGGTTAAAACTAAGGTGCAGCAAGCAATGCTCTACCAATACTAGCCAAAATGTCTTTTAATTGCTTTAGTTGATAGAGAAAATAAGTGATGAACAAGACTTATAGAGGGGGAAAAACATATTAGAAAATTTTGGAAGTGGATTATGAGTCTGACTGTCCAGTGCATATATCATGACTATCAAGATAATTCAGATGCATCATAGGTCCAGCAATTATACATGACACCACAAATAGCAAGTTCTTTAGTCCTCAGAGACAAGAAAATATAGTCCTAGTAAGATTGACATCCTCAGGAATCAGGAGTATAAATCAGTAACTGTGTAAGGGTGGAACAGTCTGTTCTCATAGACTATAAAATACAGTTCTAGTAAGATTGACATCCTCAAGAGTACAGTAACTGTGTAAGGGTGGAAGAGTTTACCTTGTGTGCATATTCCACATAATTTTCATGGAAAAGCTTAAAGTACTGATGCAGTGTTGCCCGGCCTTCAATTGAATCTGATGTAACAGAGCGTAGAGTTGGTGAAGAAGGAGGCAAGAGAACTACCTTAGGGCCAGTAAGGAGTTCTTTACTTATAATAGTTTGATTATTTGCTTCTTTTGACACCTCTGAACTGGTGGGCTTCCCCACCTCATTAACACGACGTGGCATTATGTTCCATGTTTCCATATCCAAAACAATGCACTGAAAATTGCATGTAAGGCCCACAACCCAAGAATCGCCAAACGAATCTGACAGAGCCAAGAAACCACATAATGGGGAAGGAAGTGATGACTCTTCCTGGCAAGTAGTAAGAACTGGATGAACAGAAGGGCTTCTGATCGACTCGTCCTTGTCACTATTCTGATTTGTGAAGGGAAGAAAATGCAACACAACTGAATCTACCCCTCCAACATGAAGGCAATATATTCTTTCTGGCATAAGAGGGTCAACACACATTGAGATAAGATAACCACTTTTTCTAGGCAGAGATAAATCCACTATAGCCAACCTCAAGAGAGGGGGTGGATGCCCCAACCAAAGGGTATCATCAGGTGGTAAATCGAGCTTCAAGATAGAGTGATCACTAATAACAGATTCAGAAATCATGGCAAGACCAACTATACGATCATTGGAATCAACACTAAGACGAGCTGGGCTGCCAACTTTCCATACTGGCTGTATTTCATCAGCTAAAGCATCTATTTGCAGTTGCCCACCACTCCAAGCAGTTACAAGAATTGAATCCTTGCTAACTAAATTATAAAGAAAACTAACAGCACGCCCTTCGCATATAGCAGGCTGAACTTGAGGATCTTCTACGCCATGAGATATTTTGCGTAGAGGCCCCTGTCAAAGTGAAAAGGTTATTAACATTAAAAATTTAAAAAAAAATATTAACAAATTCCTTTAATCGGAATGCATATAAAATCATATGAAACAGTACAAGGTTTTATAAGTTAAAAGGATGCATTTTCCCAAACATCTGCAGGCTTCTCCTTACATTGCCAACACAAGGAATACAGTTTTTAGATAGACTATAAATAAATAGCAATATACATCAGAGACCATTACTTATCTTTCCATTTCACTTTTCAATCAAAATGAGTGATATTGAGAAACCATTCTTCTTTCAGGCAAGTATGAATTTTAATTATCATGGAATATCTAAATACTAAAAGGAGCAATGAAGCTGGCAAGGCAGTGGAATCCATTATTTCTTTGCAGTCAAGTCCCTTGAAGTCATAGATGCACTCATGGATGGAGTAAGCTTGTTTTGATCCACATGTGCCAAAACTATTTTTGATTCTCATTTCTCAAGCATAACCATTAGCCAAAAGGTTTTAATAACCCATGTTAACTTTTACGAAGTTGTAATTTGGAAATAGTATGTAACAGATTTAGTTTCAAGAAGAATGACACTGGAATTACTAAGGAAAGAATCTCAATAAACTACTTTCAGATTATCATTAAAATAAAAAAGTCAAATCATTGATTGAAGCATTATAATCAGATTAAAATAAAAATAAAACAAGAGATAAAGAATAATCAAATACCTGCAGTGCAACAGAAGAATCAAATAAAGCATAAGGTTGAGCTCGAAGTGCAAACGCATTTCCACCTTGTACATCTTGGTGACTTAGTTCAGGAAATGTTGCTCCTAACCAAGAAATGGCCAAATTAGAATTTTTAATTGCTCTTGAATTTGAAGACTTCAGCCCAAATGCATTAGCATCATTGTATAATTCCAATATGGATTCCCATTTGTATACACTGTTACAAAATAAAGCACTTTTTCAGTTGAATATCTGAAAAGAACATCACAAAATATGCTATTTCACGTGACTCACAAGTAAACCAAAACACCATATTGTATGACTAAATACATAGCTGCAGATCAACCAAAAAGAAGACTGCCAACAAAAAGTTTAAACAAAAGAGCAGGAGAAGAAAAAGAGATGGAAAGCATATTAGTAGAATGAATAGTCACTAATATTTCTAGTGATACTTGAATTACGTAGGGTATCTAGACTTCCGGAGTTAGTTTTTGCGGAGGGAAAAGTAATCCATAGACGCTAGGTGTTCATATGCATTAGAATAGTCAATTCAACAGAAGTAATAAATGTTGAATTACCTTCCAAAAGGAACGACCGGGCATAGAACATAAACAGATCCATCACTAAATAACACAAAAACCTGTAGTAAAGAATAATGATGAGTCAAATTATATACTATAAGAATACCTGACACCAGAAAAAAAAAAAAAAAAGAAGAATCTAAACTAATTTTTAACTAGGTCAAGAAACTTTAATTGCCAGAGACTACACGCTTAAGACTAGGAACGAACTTTCCATGCATTACAGAAGATTGGAAATCAAGCTTTCAGGTTGTTAGAGGGTGCATGACTTGTTTCAACCATCAATAAACAGGAAAGCATGTAAGCAGTTGTATTCACAGATCAACTGTGATAATATCATCCTTTTTGTTGTGTGTTTTATCATTTAGTGACATTACTATAACCAAAAATAAATAAATAAAGTGACATCTATGAATCCCACAGCTCTGCAGCTATTTGACAAATCCCTCAACTTAGAGCAATACTGAAGCACAACCATCAAGTATAATATAAGGCAAAAGATGATACAGGTGCCAAATAAACTTACACTAAATTTGTCCCACAAGTGATCACCTCCAAAAGAAAAATCAACTGGACATATTGATGCAGCATCACATGAACTACCATGTTCTATTGGTTGCAAATAATACTCTTGCTCTGGTTGTACAAGTGCCGAAGATAAGTCAAAAATTCTGAAGAAAGTAGGCAGCATCCATCAATATTTTGATAAATGGAATATGTATTAAATGGCAAACAAAGTTTCCATCAGCATAATACATGCTATTTGACATGTTCAAGTAAAGCTATTGAAGAGAGATGGCAGGGAGCACCTAGCAGAATGTTTTCAAGTCTCAAAAAGATTCAATTTAGTTTTGAATTTCTTCATCTAACATTAGTGCAGCCCTAGATTCTCTAACATGTAGCCTCAATTTATAAAAGCAGAATACTCAAAAGAAGAAAGGGTTCACGGAGTTCCAATGTTCCAATGAGCTTAATGAATAGATTTCAGACAGGAAGAATCTAAAGAATATTGAATGCATAGAATATACCATGGGAAAAAAACAAGATGAGGCATGATACTTTCTCAATTACTTTTAAATTGAGAAGATAAACCTTCTTGTACAAACATACTGATGAATCAAACAAGAGAAGCCTATTATAGATATGCAGAAGAAAGATCAAACACTGAACTCCATTTAAGTTTTGGTGATTCGTTAATGTATTGAAGGAACATCATCAACAACTACTGAGTTTTTTTTTTTTTTTACAACTACTGAGTTTTAAGTCTGTGTACAGCATGTCTAATCCTATTGATGCAACAGTAGTAATATGTCACGAAAGAGATACCTAAAAACTGAATCTGAAGAGAGAATTCCCAAATGGGTGTCACTGCAAGGGTGCCAAGATATCTGTAATGTGCGTATGGCATTCTTTCCATTGAAGTAAATTTCTGAGCCAGCTGAAACAGTCCTGTGAGAAATAAATTACAAAAGAAGGCATTCAGCATCTCCAGGCTCTGTAACTAATAAGTAGAACCTGCAAAAGTTTTTACATAAGAGGGATATCTTTGCTATATCTTTATGTTTAGATTCAAGTGCATAAAGTGAATAAATCCATCTCTTCCATTTGTAATCCAGTGTGAGATATTCATATCAAGAATTGTCACAGACTAGCTACCAGTTATAAAGAATTAAAGATGCAAATTATTTACTTTTCATCCTTGTGATTTTCATAAAATATGATGTCTCAGTTTACCAAATGAAAGTTTCCCTGCCTTATACAATTTTTGTAAATCTTAAAATGGAGAGACATCTTCCCATGTTTGACCTCAACAAATATGTGAAAAGTTAAATACATGCACTTCACAAAAAAAGTAAAAATGTCACAAAATTTCATAGAGAAACTGGTAGAATCAGACAATGCATTAGCTGTAAAAATACACCTAACTTTGAAGAGAGCATATACATATAAAGTATGTAATGAGCTATGTATATGGTATACCGGCAAATTATTGTATTTTCTTTTGTTGAAGTCCGCCCATATAGATACATAATGCACAGACCCTCCATGCCCACTAAGAATATTGCTGACCCATTTCTATTAATGGAAATCCTGTCAACCTCAAAATTTAGCTGTACATCAGCTTGCAACACCTACAAGGAGAAAAAATAAAAAATAAAAAGACTGAATCATCAACTACAAATTTGAAGATATTATATCTAATATCATAGTCTGATATTAGACACATGCATATGCTGAGTGTGAAAGGAAGACCTTAGAGGGGCAAGAAGCAAGAACAGAGCTTGAGTCTGGTTCACCCAACCGAACAGAAACCCTGTGCAGGCACTGTCTGGAAGAGTCCCAATAGTACAGCCGGGATGCTCCATCCCAAGCCAGAAGATTTTTTTGCATTTTAGTGCTGGACGTTTGGGTGGCAACACCATCTGCAGTGAAGACAGGGTGGTTTTGCAGCGGAATCCATTCCAGCTCTTCTTTTGGGGTGGAAGTTGACGGCGGAGTTACAGATTGACGATTGTCAAGGTTGCTGTTGCTGTTGCAGTCTGGTTCCGTTAGGTCAAAAGTGAACCTCATTTTGCTAACTCCCTCTTGGACTCTACAGAGTACTATGCTGCCAGGGCTCTGCTTTCTTGGCTTCTTCCTTGTTGTCCAATGTCCACTGCAGGCCTACAACAAGCAATCTGTTAAAGAAAATGAAAGGTCTATTTAATGCAACTCGAGCAAAAAATAAAAAAGTAAAAATTTCCCTTTCTTTTCCAAAGTCATCCCGATTATGCGACATGATTTAGGGTGTCCAGAAAAGCAATCATATTGGAGTGGTCAGTGAGATTCAAGCATTTCATACAATTCAATGTTGATTTGAGGTAATGTTGACATTGTGAGGTTCATCCTCTATCAATAGGCAGAGAGCACCAGGAGTTGTATCTCATTGAGAAATTTACAAGCACAAATAGTGGAACTACTTCAATTTTAAACAACCCACGCAACATTTAAGCAAAAACACTATCAGGTTCCTGAGTTCCTGTGCAAGATAAAGGTTGGCACGGGTGCCTCAATTTTCATACACAGCAAATAAAGCAGCTGCAGTTATTAACTAAAGAATAACTATCAGGTTTTCTCACATTTTCAGGGAAATTTGAGAAAACACTAGCTAAACTCAACTCAACTGCACAGAGAGGGCGGAAGTAGCGACAGAAATCTCATACCTCTCCCGAAATCACAAAAAGCACATGGGCAAGCGAGAGAAAGATGCAGCCATGAGTTTTCCTTCTTCGTGTGGTTTCTGAGCTAGGGTTTTCGTTCAATTTTATTTCTTCTTTCCCGAGCTCACTCTGTTGAAACCAAAGAGCGTTTCCTATTCGCTTTGAACCGCGTTCATGGAAGATCTTCAAATGCGGTAACACTATTTAGGGTGTATTTTTTTGAGGGGGGAATAGAAGAAAATGGAAAATAAGGTGTCGCCAATAGAAAAAATATAGTGAATTTTTTGAAAAATAATTATTCACTTTAGAAGTTATTTTTCATACTTTTCAAACATACTTCAGTGTCAAATTAAGAGTATTAAGAAAAACTTGTAAAATTCCATTTTTTAGACCAAATTAAAATTTCAATAATGAAAATGTGTCACAATTTTTTCTTACTCAAAAAAATTATACAATATATATAAGTCATTTAATACAAATTATTTCTAATCGTCAATGTTACAACTAAATAATGATACGAAAAAAAATAATTGAGATAGCTGCAAATAATACACATTAAATAAGATTAACGTTTGTTGGGGTCGAATGACACACATGCCATTGATGGGCTGATGGCCTCCAATTACTGTTCACATTGTCCAATCGCAAATTATGGTGTGCACCATGTATGGTGCACGCGATGGCAAAAACAACGTCGTTTTGACTAAAAATGCGCGTCACATTTTTTTTTAAAAAAAAAATTAGGTTCGATTTCCAATAATAATATTTTTTTGTGCATAATTTGAATTATATATCCACACTGAATGAATAACACAAAATCCAGAATGAATGAACTAAATATCCACAATGAATGAACTAAATATCTACAATGAATGAACCAAATATCCACGATGAATGAACTAAATATCCACAGATTCATAACTATATATCCACAATAATTCATAACTATATATCCACGATAATATTGTTGAGGGGAATCGAAATTGATTTTTTTCTTTTAAATGGGACGCACATTTTTAGTCAAAACGACGTCGTTTTGCAACCGTATGCACCATCGGTTGCACAGCATAACTATTGTTGTCCAATGATTTGAGACTCTTGAGACATGTTATGTCAATTGCTGAGTGTGAGACTTTGGTGGAGAGAGTAGTGTATAAAGTTGGAACTTAACACTTGTGACAATGAAGAAGATTTGACATTTAATTTGTAGACATTGTATAAGCAGGTAGATGGATATAGTATAATTATCTTGAATTATTATAAGGTCACGTGAGGTATAGTATAATTATCTTGAATTATTATAAGGTCACGTGTTCGACTCTTCCTAATAGTCTTTTAGTTGAACTTGTTGCACTTCATCACTAATACAATACAGTTTACCTCTTAGTGTGTTGTTATAGTAATTCCAAATTATTTAATATCTTTCACCGGCGCAGCCGTCCAAATAAAGAGATGTATCATGCCATATTTTGTTGAATAACGGGAGCGAGTCCATATATATATATATATATATATATATATATATATATATATATATATATATATATATATATAGAGTAGCATAATAACTTTTAGAAGTCACTTTTGAAATTTTTAATGTTTAGCTATTTAAAGACCATGCCTCCAAAGTAACGCTTTAACGGTTGAGCACTTATATACTACATACAATTCACCTTTCGCCCATCCACTCTATCGATCAACTCTATCAATTATTGTTTGGCGTGAAATGAAAATACAGACTCTGGCCCTGTTTGGTAAAAAATTAGCCTATAGGCCAATTTTGGCCTATTTGACCACTATTAATTGTTTGATTTAGTTAAAATATCAATACAAATGTTTGGTTAATTGGCTTTTTGCAACTTCAAAAGGCTAAAATTCAAAAAGCTACTCCAAACAACTTTTTTAATTAACTTTTTGAAAAAAGAAATTATACCAAACAGCTATTAGCTAACAGCTAATTTACCAAACACTTTTCTACAATCAGCTAATGTTATCAACTATTTATACCATCTAATTAACACAATCAGCTAACAGCTAATAGCTATCAGCTAACAGCCATTTTACCAAACAGGACCTCTATCATTTTAATCAAACTATGCTATTATATTAAATACAAGTAGTATTTTTCTATGTACTATAAAACTTACTTCTAACAAATGGCTTAATCACAACAAAAATAAAACAAGAATACAAAATTAAAAGTTAATCAAATTGACCAAATGAATAAGAAGTAATCAATAATAATATAATGAATGTGTGACTTTTCTTTCTTTTTAATTTTTTTATTATTAATCAAAAAAAAAAAAAAAAAAAAGGAGCAGCAAATTAAAGTTGATAAAAATATTTGAGCAAGCCTAATCATGCCATTTGCTTTGTGGGCACTCCAAGGAAAGTTTTCCGCCGGCGGAGGGCGGCAGTATCGGCCGGCTTTGAAATAATGAAATATATAAACCTACCAATTAAGCTACTATACATACATATATCCTTCAATTCACCAAAGACTGCTCAGACTAGCTTAGCTTTGGTCATCATCATCATCATCAAAGAATTGAAACCATATCATATATGGGATCAGTCAACAGTTGCTGTGGCTCTGAAAAGATCGATGAAGGGTATGCCAATCTCGATCTGTCTGTTCTTCCTAAACTAACTATCTGTCAATTTGCATTCTTTGTTAGTTTTCATCAGACATTAATAATATAATGTTGTGGAATGTGGGTTTGAATATAATTTCAGGTCGAAAAATGTTGTGGGTGGTGGAGGTAACACTTCTTGGAGAATATTCACGTACAAGGAGCTGCATTCTGCAACCAATGGGTTTAGTGAGGAAAACAAGCTTGGAGAAGGAGGTTTCGGAAGCGTTTATTGGGGTAAAACCTCTGACGGACTCCAGGTATTAATCCCAGAGTTTAATTTGCACTCCGTAATCCAGTCTAAGTCACTGACCCACTCAAATTAATAAGGTCGTTTTTACTGGGATCGGAGCAGGATTTGTAATCTTGTGGTTAACAAGCCTAATAGCAGCCTGAACAACTTGGCTGAGTTGCTCCTATTTTTGTTGTAGTGTATGTGGGATATATGTTTTCTGGGTATTGTTTGAACATTATATTATATGATTGGGAAAATGAAAGCAGATAGCTGTGAAGAAACTGAAGTCCATGAATTCAAAGGCAGAGATGGAGTTTGCAGTGGAGGTGGAAGTGTTGGGAAGAGTACGACACAAGAACCTGTTAGGACTGAGGGGTTATTGTGCTGGAAATGAACAGAGGCTTATAGTCTATGATTATATGCCAAATCTCAGTTTGCTATCACATTTGCATGGCCAATTTGCCAGGGAAGTTCAATTGGACTGGAAAAAGAGAATGAAAGTTGCAATTGGATCTGCCCAAGGCTTATTGTAAGATTATATATATTTACTCCGCCCCTTCAAACTTTTATTTTTACTTCTTATATTATTTATTAATTTAATATTTATAAAAAAATGATACAAGTATGTAGACAACTTGAATTACTAAGTTTTAGTATATATGTAAATACATGTCACAAAATAATGTTATGTAAATACATTGTGGTCTAGTGACACTAAGTTGCTATGTGGGTTCGAGCTTTTGTGTTTCAGTATGTAATTAGAAAGTAATTATGAATAGATATTGTAAGTAGTACTATATATTATAGTTCTAACCTCGGCCCTATGGATGGTGTATATATGTTGTCCTAGGTACTTGCATCACGAGGTAACTCCACATATAGTTCATAGAGACGTCAAAGCTAGCAATGTCCTCTTGGATTCTGATTTTGAACCGCTAGTGGCCGACTTTGGCTTTGCAAAGCTCATCCCGGAAGGGGTGAGTCACATGACGACTCGTGTGAAGGGAACATTGGGTTATCTTGCACCCGAATATGCAATGTGGGGCAAAGTCTCAGAAAGTTGTGATGTGTATAGTTTCGGTATACTTCTCTTGGAGATCGTCACCGGCCGGAAACCCATCGAAAAGCTTCCCAACGGCATCAAAAGGACGATAACCGAGTGGGCGGAGCCGTTGATTGCCAAAGGAAAGTTCAGTGACCTAGTTGACCCTAAGCTCAAAGGAAACTTTGATGAAACCCAGCTGAAGCAGGCCATCAATGTGGCGGCGCTGTGCGTCCAGACGGAGCCGGAGAGACGGCCGACGATGAAAGAAGTTGTCAGCCTGCTTAGAGGGTACGATGATCCGAATGGGAACAAGGGAGTGCAGCAGAATCTGAGGATTCAGAGTGTTAAGTACGAGGAAGATTTGATGAGACTGGACCAGACCAGCGATGAAGATGATGACGACGACGAAGATGAGAGCTATGCGAAAGGGCGATATGATGAAAGCAGTGCGTATGGTGTATTTGGTGCCATGGAAGTGCAGCAGAAGATGAACGACCCTTACAAGCGTTATGGAGATATTAAAAGAACATATAATTAATGTACGTGTGATGCATGAATATTGGGAACAATATGTCTGGTGTGGTTTGGTACGTAAAGTTTGTTGTTTCTAAGGTTTAGTGACACTTTTTTATCCAACAGGTACAATTTAAGGTAATTAAACTCTTATCATGTAAGTGAGAGAAAAATATATATGCTTTATTTGCGTATGTATGTATTGCAATATCGATCTGTCTGGGTTTCGACATTATTGCAGAACCAATTTGATTGATTATATTGTAGATTCAACATATATGTTGCCATTGTTAAACTCTTTATACTTGAAAATCGTCTCTGTTCTATAATCCTTTCAATGTTTTCTTTTATAATATTTGAAATGAATAGAAATAAACATTGGTATTTGAGTAGAATCTAGATAGAGCACGATTTAATTTTCTTATCTAAATTACAATACCTCAGATGTCTTGAATTACTTTTTCTTTTGTCCTATTATTTAATGGTAATGATTAAGCAATTACTTGCCGTTTGGAGAGTGCATATAATTGCAAAATTCATTCACTTGCTTTTTCCTTAAATGAATGGACATAGAAGCTAGCTAGACTGATGGTGTTAGGTCTTAAAAAGAGTTGGGGCAATGATCAATATATTTATCGGGACCTACTAAGAACTAAGAGCAATCTCAATAGTTGTAAATTTTTGCTGGCTATGTAGGAAAGAGAAGCAAGTGAAGAGAGGAAGGAGGAGGGGGGAAGGAAAACAATAAATTATGACCCAAAAAAAAAAAAAAGAA